GCTAATAAAGATGGGCATACGCCATACAGTGTGCTATGAGGGAAATTTTGCCCGGACAGCGGCACTACGGCCTACTCTTATATCGAATTCCAACTGCCAAGGAATCTTTTACGTGCACGCCAATGTGTACACGGGACCTCAGTTTTTCGTCCCATCCGAACGACTAGACAGCTTTCCTTGTCAGGCCCTCCTTCATGCATCACTGACAAGGGAGAACCACGCCGGAAAATCTGGATGAACTTTCTCGACCAATGCAGGGATCGAACACCTGACCTCCAGGCTAGCGAGCTAGCGTCTTACCCACTTAGCCACGTGATCACCTAGTAAGTTTGAAAGTGAATACTTAAACCTCACAGACTATAAAAAATAATGTTGAATAATAAAAGTTGCCAGTCAGTAATATTTCAGAATGTAATCAGCTAGTCAATCATTATGCTTTATGATTAATAACTTTATGTAAAGGAGAAGACTTAATAAGTTGCAAAACTTGTGTCTCATCCTATTGTCATTCAATCGGCAATAAAATATGTTTAAAGAAAAAGATATGTTTAGCAAGAAACAACAAATATAAAAATTTAAAGAATGTAAAGGAATACAGAATTTGTATATGTTTATGACTTAAGTGTCATATGAAAGAGACGTATAAGTTTACCCTGCAAAGCATGGGTAGTTCACCATAACGTCATTCATTTGGAGAGAGAGAGAGACGTGCTAACCATTCAGCCACCCAACCCACCAACATATATAGCAACAGAGTAAACCTTCAACAATGCATGATATATTATATTTATCTAGAGATGGGCAATATTTCAATAATACTGTTTATACTGTTATACAAAATATAGCTTTAGAACAGTGATTCTCAACCAGTGTGCCACAGCACACATGTGTGCCGTGCGATCTTCCTAAATGTGCCGCAAAATTTTGAACAGCACACTAAGAAAATGCAAAAAACTATGTGATCCCAATTTAGTATTCACTGGTGTCTACTGATAAGTTCATAGCTGTGATTTTCTTTATTTAGTTTCAGTCTTTCTATGTGTCTTTGACTAGTCTCTGTCTACAGTTGTATACCGTATACCACTGCTTTAGAATCAGCATATTGAGTTTGTGACATTTAGCTGAAAACATGTTATCATCAGCTAATATTAGTCTTGTTAAACCAAATGAATGAGGGGGGTTGGATGGCTGAATGGTTAGCACGTGCGGCTGTATCATAAAGCCTGTCATTGAGTCAACTGGCGTGGTTTCGAATCCCCGGTTGTACATGACAAGGAGTAGGGTCGCCTGCCTAACCTCGTGGGTTTTCTCCGGGTCCTCCGGTTTCCTCCCACTGCTAAAGACCCCTACGCGCAAGCGAATTATTGAAATAAAATTAAACCATATGTTAGTCCCGAAATGACCTAGTTTGTGTCGAGTGGACGTTTAACCCCATTTCTCTTTCTCTCTCTCTATAGATGATATAAACAAGTCAGCACCATCTAAAAGTTCTTTGATTGGCATTTTAGTATTTGAACATATTACTGATGTCCAAAAGAAAGTATGACTAGGTTTTGTTTAGATTTGATAAAGCATTACTGAGTTTATCTCTTGCGTGGCAAGGAGTAGGGTTGCCTGTCCAACCTTATGGGTTTTCCCCGGTTCCCCCGGTTTTCTCCCACTGCTAAAGACCCCTACGCGCAAGCGAATTATTGAAATAAAATTAAAAAATCATGTGTTAGTCCCGAAATAACCTAGTTTGTGTCGAGTGGACGTTAAACCCCATTTCTCTCTCTCTCTCGCTATAGACGTTATTACTCAAACAATCTACACACATCATTTTTTCAAATCATAATTTGACAATATTTAATATTCAATCTCACAAGGTGATGATTAAAATTTGTACAATTACAATGAAGTTGTCAATATAAATGCAGTATTTTAGAGCTAAATCGGATTACTGTAGGTCGTCCTTTCAGCTTCAAAAGTTATATAAATTAATATTTAGACATTTATTCACATGACAAGCCTAAAATCAACTCTCTTGACCAATGGATGGCTAAGCTTTAAATGAATTCAAACACCTGCAAGATTTAACAATGGATAATCCTAAAACACCTGCAAGATTTAAAAATTTAACAATTGATAATCAAGACTTAGTCATAACAGTCGTAACTTCTCCAGAATAATGTAATTTGCAATATATTCAATTATCATTATCTATTTTTGAACTATTATAGCAAGAACGACCAGCTCTTTATCTAAATCATACATAATGCATCTTTAACACATTGAAATAAAATCTCTGAGAATGAAACTTGTAAACTTAAAGCTAGTCAAATGTTATACTGGTTTCTATGTCCTATATTTATTCAATTCTTTTCATCAAACAGTAACAATAGTATGTAAACTAGTTCACATATTCAGTGTCAATACTCTGTCAATGGAGAATATAGCATTTATAGTACAAGGTGTCATATGAAAGAGACGTATAAGTTTACTCTGCCAAGCATGGGTAGTTCACCATAACGTCATTCATTTGGAGAGAGAGAGAGAAATGGGGTTTAACGTCCACTTGACACAAACTAGGTCATTTCAGGACTAACATGGTTCAATTTTATTTCCATAATTCACTTGCGCATAGGGGTCTTTAGCAGTGCGAGGAAACCGGAGGACCCAGAGAAAACCCATGAGGTTGGACAGGCGACCCTACTCCTTGTCACATACAACCGGGGAATTGAAACCACGCCAGTTGACTCAATGACAGATTTTATGATACAGCACGCACATGCTAACCATTCAGCCATCCAACCCCTCCACAGTACAAGGTAACTTAAACACTAAGTGAAAGACTAGAGGACTGCACCACACACAATCAACTAGAAACCCAGAAGAAACACATGCGACCAAGAATAAACATAGGTTGCTAGGCAATGAAACATATGTTAAAAAGCAGCTAATTCATCAGAGCAGTTATCAAAATTCCAAAAAGATCAGAGCTCTGTTTCTTGAAACTTTAATTAAAGATAAAATCCAAATTTTAGTAGATATTTCAATTTTGATTGGCTAAGCACTAAAATCAATCTAATATTATCCAATCAAATTACTAAAATTTGGATTTATCTTAGTTAAAATTTTGTGAAACATGCCCCAAATCATAATTCAATCCTCTAAGGTGCTAATAAGTTTTTGTAACACAGAGGGTCAGTGAGATACACAACCAATATAAATTTCAAAAAGATGAGATATTTGAAGCCTTTAGAATGCTAACAACATTTCATACCAATGAGGAATAACTCTGAAGTTATCAAAGATCATGAAAATCAATACAATTCCATATTTCAATGAGATAGACAAGCCAACAATGAGGCTGATGTCCACCGCCAAAATCCCTAACTAAATAGATGACCCATATTAATTAATTGCAGATGTATTTTTTTCAAAAGTATCAAGCAAACAAACTGATTATCGATACTTAGTCTAAGCGTAAAATGTTCATGATCAAACTCGGTCAAGATTCTGAAGTACTTGGTAGTGAAACTATACACTAAGTTCAATCACTCTTCATCAGTTAGAATCAAAGTTATCTTGTCCAAAATTATTGACCAATGAAATTGCTTAGCTCTGCTAAGCTTTAGCGGGAATTGTTAATAATTGAACTTAGTCAAGACATTCACCTAATGAACATCAACATCAAGTTTAAACATTCTACCTCAATTAAAAGCAGAGTTGTTATGTTCCATAATTCTTTGTCAGAAGCTACGTTTTCTTTTTCGACCATATTTTCTACAAACTGACCTGCTCGGATCAGTTCGTCGTCCAAATTGTTTGACAACATTGCACAAAATGAATTCCCGTTTGTGAACAAGTGGCTACTAAAATGCAATGCATGTGCAACTTACAACTTGTTTTCTTAATTTTGTCATATCAGTCGCAGGGCTGATGTGAGTCAAACCATTGTCTTATTGGTGAAATCAATTAGGATAGATCTAACATTAATGTCAGTATGTGAGACAAATATTACCCTAACCAAAGGTTGATATGTGAAATAACCTAAGACCGAAATCTATATCAAAGAATTATATTTATTTATTTGTGCATGTAAGAAAGGATAGGGTGATAAATAAAATCTCCTACATGTAGGAGATTCTCTATATCTTTCATTATTTCCTTCTTAGTGTTGTGTATCTTCTCTGGGATTGTGTAAATAATTATACCATGTATCCATTGTATCACTGGTTCTCTCAATGTCTTTGTTTTGATGTACAGTTATCCTGCACTGTCTATTAATCACATATGAATCGTGATAAATATAAAACTTATGATAGTGGTCGAGTGGTCAAATGGGTGCTTTAGATCATATGGTCTGTCATTTCGGCCAGTGGCATGGGTTCAGCTAAAGACTTCTACGAGCAGTCGAATTATTGAAATAAAATTGTGCCATATTCTAGTTTGTGTTGAGTGGATATCCTAGTTTGTGTTAAGTGGACATTAAAGGGCCAATTTCGATTATATTTTGGAGAATAAAATGCTAAATTTTGTGTTAAAGATGGGTTCCCAGAAAAGTATTTATCGGGTGGTTATTTCCAATAAAAGTATGGCAATTTTGGTATATATGGAAAGTAGAGATATCCAATCTTACTAGAAAAATACTGGATTCCCCGAAAAACACTCATGGAGCGTATACAGGACAAAAACGTAAGGGTTCCCCTAATCAACAGCCCGACGATTAGAAGATTCTGCACGCGTGATGTCAAAGATCACAAGCGAACATTGAGCGCTTGATGTGCAAGTTGATAAACTTTATGAAGAGTCGGACGTACAACACTTTCTGAGATAAAAATGACGGAAAAATTTTTCCTCTAAATTTTTGTGCTTAAATTTCCTATGTACACAGACTTTTATTTCAAGATGGTCCCTTTAAACTCCAGTTCTCTCTATCTTTGCTAGTAATATGTGAATAAATATCTGGTTAAATAGCTGTTTCAACAACAAAGTATCTAGATTATTTAACAACCTACCCGTCTGGCTCTTTCTACTTCTCCACACGGCAATCGTTTATTAAAATCAATTCCAGTTAGTGGTGTACCAGTTGGTGATAATAATATAGAGGCATCCATCATTAGATATTCCACGTTCAATGGACTATTCTATAAATTAAACAAAAAGAATAAAAAATCTCAATAACCTGAAAAAATATTCACTATAAGATATACACACAAAACATTTTCTAATGAAATGAAATGGAATGAAATGGGGTTTAATGTCCTGCTCCTATACTGGGCAAATTAAGACGGGCATACGCCATACAGTGTGCTATGAGGGAAAGTTTGCCCGAGCGGCGGCACTATTGCCTACTCTTATATCGAATTCTAACTGCCAAGGGATCTTTTATGTGCATTCTAATGTATACACGGGACCTCGGTTTTTTGTGTCATCCGAAGGACTAGACAGCTGTCCTTGTCAGGCCCTCCGTTCTGCACCATTTTCTAATGAAAATGGACAAAACATAAAACTTCAAACCTTACACACAACAAAATCACTAAGTATGGCAGAATAAAAACAGACTTCTTTAATCAAACAATAGAGCAGATGAAAATCACATAAATATTAAAAGAAATTAAAGAATCATGGAATCAATAAACTGTAACACATACTTAAGGAAGAACAATTATTGATTTAGTTAGGCGATGTTTCAAAGAGTATTCCCTCAATGTTTTCAAGCAAGCATGAAATTAATGCCATGAATAATGAGATTAATGCCACGACCAGAGACCTACCCATTCCAAAAGGGTAGCTTCTTGTGATTTTAACAAGACACCATTTACCAGATAATGACTTTATTCATTGTTACATTATAAATTGATTAATTATTATCTATTTAATCATCTCTTATTTTTTCTCCGTTTTTTTACGGGGTGTTGTGTTTGACTACATCACTGAATTATGTGAAAACTGATCTATACCTTATTTTATTGAAATTAAAACACACTGGCGGTAAGTTACATTTGACGATAAGTTACATTTGACGCATTAATTTCTTCCTTTTTGGACATTATGATCTAACCAGCGGCTGCCAGGCAGGATACGCCCACATTTTCGAGAGATGGATAGAGAACAAGCTAACAAGAAAGTGATTTTTCCTACTATCAAGGGCCATAATTCAGGAAATTACAATTCAATATGCCCGAATATCGAAAGGAACTGAGATCTTTGTGTTATAAACTTACATTTCAAGTTTCAACAAAATCGGATAAAAATTGTGACCTCTATAGGGTCCACAACCTTGATATACCATATTTTTACGCTATTTGAGAACGAACGGCGGCCATTTTGTCTGTCAATTTTGGGCCGATTTTCACGACATTCGAACTCAACCTTCCTTAGGGTGTAACGGTGATATAATAATACGTTTTTTTAAATCGGATAAAAATTATGACCTCTATAGGGTCCACAAGCTAAAAACATGATTTTTCGTACAATCAGGGGCCATAATTCAGGAAGTTACAGTCCGATATGCGCGAATATCGAAAGGAACCGAGATCTTTGGGTTATAAACTTACATTTCAATTTTCAACAAAATCGGATAAAAATTGTGACCTCTATAGGGTCCCCAACCTTGATATACCATATTTTTACGCTATTTGAGAACGAACGACGGCCATTTTGTCTGTCAATTTTGGGCCGATTTTCACGAAATTCAAACTCAACCTTCCTTAGGGTGTAACCGTGATATAATAATACGTTTTTTTAAATCGGATAAAAATTATGACCTCTATAGGGTCCACAAGCTAAAAACGTGATTTTTCGTACAATCAGGGGCCATAATTCAGGAAGTTACAGTCCGATATGCGCGAATATCGAAAGGAACTGAGATCTTTGTGTTATAAACTTACATTTCAAGTTTCAACAAAATCGGATAAAAATTGTGACCTCTATAGGGTCCACAACCTTGATATACCATATTTTTACGCTATTTGAGAACGAACGGCGGCCATTTTGTCTGTCAATTTTGGGCCGATTTTCACAACATTCGAACTCAACCTTCCTTAGGGTGTAACGGTGATATAATAATATGTTTTTTTAAAACAGATAAAAATTATGACCTCTATAGGGTCCACAAGCTAAAAACGTGATTTTTCGTACAATCAGGGGCCATAATTCAAGAAGTTACGGTCCGATATGCGCGAATATCGAAAGGAACCGAGATCTTTGGGTTATAAACTTACATTTCAAGTTTCAAAAAAATCGGATAAAAATTGTGACCTCTATAGGGTCCACAAGCTAAAAACATGATTTTTCGTACAATCAGGGGCCATAATCCATGAAGTTTCGATCCGATACATGCCAATATCGAAAGCAGCCGAGAACTTTTGGGGATAAACCTAGAGAGAGAGAGGGGGGTTTAACTCCACTCGACACAAACTAGGTCATTTTGGGACTAACATGTGGTTCAATTTTATTTTTAGCAGTGGGAGGAAACGGAGGACCCAGAGAAAACCCACGAGGTTGGACAGGCGACACTACTCCTTGTCACATACAACCAGAGAATCCAGTGATAAGCAAGGTGTACAGAACATACATATACTTATAACTACTTTCATTTTTATCAGTATTGGGGGGGATCACATGGCTAAGTGGGTAAGATGCTGGCTTGCTAGCCTGGAGGTCGGGTGTTCGATACCTGCATTGGCCGAGAAAGTTCATTCAGATTTTCTGGCGTGGTTCCCCCTTGTCAGTGATGCAGGACGGAGGGCCTGACAAGGACAGCTGTCTAGTCCTTCGGATGATACAAAAAACCGAGGTCCCGTGTGTACATTGGAATGCACGTAAAAGATCCCTTGGCAGTTGGAAATCGATATAAGAGTAGGCGATAGTACTGCTGCCCGGGCAAAATTACCCTCATAGCACACTGTATGGCATATGCCCATCTTCATTAGCCCAGCAAAACAGTAGGACGTTAAACCCCATTTCATTTCATTTATCAGTATTGGGCTTACACCTGTATATAAATTCTCAATGACCAGTATAACAAGGGGAGCAACACCAATAACTGAGCACCAATCAATATACAGTTTAATATGTATAAGATAAATAACAGAGCAAGACAAACTAACCTTCATATCTCTATATTCATCTTCAAACATGTCTAAAAATATTTCTTCACTCTAAAATAAAATAACAAATAAATCATTATCTGTTTTCAGTTCAAAATCGGTGATAAAACATTTTATCAAAATGTTGTATTCCTTTGAGGAATGGTCATTTGAAAAATCACATTTGGAAAGAAAGATAGGTTGCTATTCAACGAAACATACGCCCACAGCAGCTAAATCGTCCGGGCAGTCAACAAGAGTTGTCGCATATTTTTACTTTTTTCGGTAATGAAACATTTATAATACACTAAAATCTGATTAAGAGCAACAACTCAGAAAACCATTAGAATTTGTTTGGTTTTTATAAAGTTCTGCCCCATGCTAATATTTTGTATACAAAACTTTTAATACTGTATCATGGATTTAGCTGTTCCAAGTCATAAAAATTCATTGAAAATCAATATACTTGTTCGTCTCAATATCTTAAACTCTGTGTATCAATCTGAAGTCAATCGGATATTAACTTTGGCCTCTAGAGCGTCCACAAGATTTTTCAAAGTGATCAAGGGCCATAACTTTGGCAGTTATTATCAGAAATCTTTGAAGATCAATAGGATTCTTCGCCTCGTGACCTCAAACACTGTTTATAAATTTAAAGTCAATCAGATATTAACTTTCGCCTCTAGAGCATCCACAAGGTTTTTTGAAGTGATCAAGGGCCATAACTCTGGCAGTAATTATCGAAAATCACTGAAAATGAATAGACTTCTTCGTCTCATGACCTTAAACACTGTGTATAAATTTAAAGTCAATCGGATATTAACTTTCGACTCTAGTGCGTCCTCAAGATTTTTTGAGTGATCAAGGGCCATAACTCTGGCAGTAATTATCGGAAATCGCTGAAAATCAATAGGCTTCTTCGTCTCATGGCCTTAAACACTGTATATAAATTTAAAGTCAATCGGATATTAACTTTAGCCTCTAGAGCGTCCACAAGCAATTGTGGACCCCGGTCTGCCGGACGGACGGACGGGGGGGGGGACGACAATATACGACCACATTTCAATGTGGGCGTATAAAAAGGAAGGTAAGGATTTAAAAGTACTGAAGGACAAAGAGAGAGAGAGAGAAATGGGGTTTAACGTCCACTTCGACACAAACTAGATCATTTCGGGACTAATATATGGTTTAATTTTATTTCAATAATTTGTCAGCTTGTACGGGTCTTTGGCAGTGGGAGGAAACCAAAGGACCCGGAGAAAACCCATGAGGTGACCCTACTCCTTGCCATGTAAAACTGGGGTTCTTGGTTAGCACCGAAAACCGATGAGGTTCAACAGCCGGGGAAATCAAAACCACCCCACTTGAGTCAATGACAGACCCTGTGATTTAAAGCGCATGTGTTAACCCATTCGGCCACACAACCTCTCTAGAATTAGAAAGAAAGAAGTTCCTACATCATGTTACTGTCTGTAGGGCTAACTATTACTCAATAAATGATTATATCCAAGACAATAAAACAGTATGATTTAATTCTTGGCATTAAAAATTAAAAAATAACATGAACCCAGTCTTCTGTTTGAAGTATGAGAATGGATAAAAATACATTTAAATTAAAATCATACATAAATATCTTTTAAAAAATCAGAAAGTCTATATAATCCAACAACTAGTAATACCTTGTAAAAATTTCTAAGTCGTTGTGTACTGCATTCCTTGGCATTTTCTAGACTGGCTAGATGTCGATCTTGTAGGTAGGATTTGCCATCTTTATAGACTAGTTGTTTGAATAGTTTGATACTAACTTCTAATGTGGCTAATCTTACTTTAGTACCTGTAATTAAAATAAAAATAGCATCAAGTACAAATTCACTACATTTGTCTCTTTTAATATTTATCTTCGCTATAAAAATTCAGACAAACAAAAAAGTTCTTAAAGAAGCATTAGAACTTTGAACAAATAATTCTAGACTCACATAATTTTCAGAAATCCAAGATCAAAGCTGAACTTTTGAAACTACAATTGGCCAAAATGTGTACGACTTGGAATCAGCTATGAATTGACAAAGAAAAGAAAATGAAGTTGAATGGCCTATGCTATACAGTATGTTATGATGGAAATTTTGCCGGACAGCTGCGAGACTGCCCACTCTTATATCAAATACCAACGGCCAAGGTTTTTTTTAAGTGCACATCATTGTGTATACAGGACCTCGGTACCACTATACACTGCCCCTTGCTAGGCCCTGTCCTGCATCACTGACAAGGGGGAACCAAGCCAGAAAATCTGGATGAACTCTAGAGGCCGACAAGTGGATCGAACAAGGGACATCCAGGTCAGCCAGCCAATGTCATACTCACTGAAAAAACGCGGCTCCCTATGAATTGACAGATCAGTTACAAATTTTAAATGTAATCTAGTTTGAACACACCTATTATTACTGAACAGTAAAAATGTGGCAAATCAAAAATCATATCAAGTTCGAATGCTTTGACCTAAGGTTGTATAATAATGAAACTTACTGGATTGCGCAGCTATTGTAATAATTCGTAGTAATCGTTCTACTAGAGCAATATTATAGTATGTTTTATCCTACAATATAAAATAAAATACAGTTATCTTCTACAAGAAATAAAGCAACAATTTTATTCTGATAAAATAACATCAAATTATCAAGCCATAATGGTTTAAAGTTTTACAATAAAATCTTTTTTTATTACTACAATACAATGTCCACTAGTTCAAATCAGCCGAGAGCATTCACATATATATATTAAAAGTAAAAAAAGTGTACTATTTTGATGTCATTACTGTAATTAACCAGAACCAAGAATAAAACAAGTCAATAGTGATGGGGATGTCCCCTGTACCAAATCCCAAAATAAATATTTGCACATTTCCCTTTTTTTTTATAAAGCATTGAGCAATCAAATGGCATGTCACTCTACTTAACCTAAGCAGAAAATGTCTATTATGGAACTTAGTCAAGGTACTGAGGTAAGGCCATTTAAAAAAAAACCTTTCGGTTCTTTGATAATCCTGCGTTGCTTAAAAAGAGCAGCATGACCCGGTTTTATTTTCAGTCTATTCAATCACTGCACGTAAATATTTCACCTGTGGTCACCACAGCAGGTAAATTTGAATAAGTCAAAAAATATTCTGTAGGCTCATTCATCAAGTATGCAACTCTGAAAAGTTCTACTTATAACGTAAATGATACTGGATAACCAAACATTCTTATAAACAACGTGAGAAAAGTTCAGTGCCTGGAAACGTTAATAAGAAGTCATTTAGCCCAGTAGTGATCCTTTGACAACATAAAAACACAAAAATAAAAACCTTGCTCTCACTTCAGTTTTTTTAAAACAGATGGTCTGAGAACAAGAATATATTTTTTGTATGGCCATATTCACCTCTCACACATACAATTAGAATAGCTTTATTTGAATAATCTTTGGACCAAGAAGCTAATTTACCAAATGTATGGACTATTTATGAATATACTAACATTTGATTTGTCTGTTGGCATCATAACTTTATCTAAAACATCTTGAGAAACACCTGGTAAAAAAAACAACATATCTATCATCAATAAATAATGGCTAAATTATTTTCATCAGATTGAGTACAAAATATTTTTAAGACTGTGATGAATTAACTTCCTACAAAGGGTGCAGGAAACCCTGGAACACTGCAGGTCAGTTTGGATCTCAGTGATAATGAGGAGCGAGAAGGAAGCAATCCCTCGAAAATAATCCCAATATAAAATCCCCTAGCAACACACTGACAAGACTGTGTATAAGGACAGTCTTTTTCAAAAAAATGTGATATCTAATATACACATTTCATAAATCACAGAAATAATCCAACTATAGGGATTATTAATCCTCCAATCTAGAGTGCATACGATATATCCTGTTGTTGATATAAGTCAAGATTGTAAGATTATTTTTTACCAGTTCTTAAAGGGTTGCCGCCCGAAACAGGACCTGGAATAAATACTTATAGACTTTTTACAGGATCTTGTCAGTGTGCTGCTAGGGTATTTTATTATTGGATCATCGAGTTTACTTAGATAGAGATAACCAGATATGACTTGTCACCACTAATATCTTATCAACAGTTATTGAAATTCAATAGGCTTCTTTATCTCATTGTCACCACTAATATCTTATCAACAGTTATTGAAATTCAATAGGCTTCTTTATCTCATTGTCACCACTAATATCTTATCAACAGTTATTGAAATTCAATAGGCTTCTTTATCTCATTGTCACCACTAATATCTTATCAACAGTTATTGAAATTCAATAGGCTTCTTTATCTCATTTATGAATAATTGTTTTAAAAGTATTAAATTGTAGTGTCCACATGAAAATGTTGATAACAAAACAATATAAAACCAGCTATGCTATATTTGCATACAACCATGCATGTATTTAAATAGGGAATTTCTCAATGTTTTGTGGGGGTTGGATGGCCGGATGGTTAGCATGTGCGCGCTGTATCATAAAGCCTGTCGACAGCAGCCATTTTACTTTCCCAATTTATTTAGATTTCAATATAAACATATACTTACCTTCACTTTGTGTTATAGCATATAGTAGACAAAGAGCAAACAGGGCTGCATAGTCATTTTCACTACATTCTAAATTATTAAATATTGCTTCAAGATAAGGCCTACAAATAGAACAGTGTACTTTCTGTATTCACCCTCAACAGATTTCATCATAAATATTTGGCAAACATTTTTTGGTCTAAATTAGTTCAATAATCTAAAAGGGGCATTAGGTAAGATTTAAATAAAGAGATGACAGTACTTGTTATAATAGTTAAAATATAGATAATGAAAAGGGAATATGTTGAAAATTTCAGTCAAATTACTTCACTCTGAGCCTAGATATTAACAATAACACTGTGGCCTTGATTGTCATTGCTACTGTTTTCACCATAATAAACTGTCTAGATTTTCCTTTTTCATCAACCGCAAAACGTATTCATATTAACTAAATATCAAAGCCACCCGATGGCATCAAGAGTTGATTATGGTCTTGGTAAGTTAATTAATGTCTAATTAATAATTTATATAACATTTAAGGCCTAAAAAAAGAACTACAATAGGCAGATTTAGCACTTGCATAATGTCTATTGAATAGATTTGCAAAAAAAAAAAAAAAAAAATATGTGGCATATTTACCTATTTTCCAACGAAAATCTGGGCGGGGGATCAACGGGTTCAGGTATGTAGGTCATTCGATGTGAAAGTTTTTCTTCGTCTGTTGAGTTCTGGTTTGGACTAGATATATCATCATTATCCGCAGATGCTGCTTCACTAATAGGACTTGTTACTTCTTCTGTAAATAAAATCGAGATATAAATAAAACCAGTTAAACATCATGCTAATATTTTACATAGGTCAACCTTGATTTTATTTACTTTGCCTAGATGTGAAATACATCTTGGTTAGCGAGAGAGAGAGAGAAAAAGAAAGCGAGAGAGAGAGAGAGAGAGAGAGAGAGTTTAATGTTCACTGGACACAAGCTAGGTCATTTCGGGACTAACACATGGTTCAATTTTATTTCAATAATTCACTTGCACGTAGGGGTCTTTAGCAGTGGGAGGACACCGAAGGACCCAGAGAAAACCTATGAGGTTGGACAGGCGACCCTACTCCTTGCCATGTACAACATGTTCTTGGTTAGCAGTATTTTAGCCTGTTCTTCTTCTAATTCTATCAGACAATAATTCTTTTTTACGACAACTGAATGACAAGAAAACCCATCTAATTTTTCTGTCTAAATGATATTATCACTTATACTAAACTGTTGCGAAACAATTTGTCTACTATATACCCTTTTATCAACGACTGTCTGTGGTACAAATGTATGTACATTTTAAACTATGGTACCTGTTTGATCTTGTCTACCAAGGACAGTCTGTGGTACAAATGTATGTACATTTTAAACTATGGTACCTGTTTGATCTTGTCTACCAATGACAGTCTGTGATATAAATGTATGTATATATATGATATAATAAAGGTAAGCTATGGTACCTGTTTGATCTTGTGATGTAGCACTTTCTTGTCTTTCTACAAAAAATTGTGAATTGCCTTCTGCAGCTGGTGGTGGTGTTTTTATTTGGTTCTCTGTATAAGTACGGTGTGTATTAGCCAATGTCTTCTCTAATGACTCTGCTGGCTCTTTAAATTCTCTCACCTTCTGTACAAGAAATTTTCAATCAATATTTCTATATTTACTAGTAGATACAACTTTAATTTTACTTACATAGATAAATATGCTACAGTACTATCGAGCAATCATGTAGAGAAATCCATTTATTTACCGGTATTTACAACTTTCATTTTACATAGATAAATATATATTTACCGGTATTTACAACTTTAATTTTACTTACATAGATAAATATGTTACAGTACTACGGAGCATTCATGTAGAGAAATCCATTTATTAAGAAGACAAAATCAATAAAATTTATAATAAGTTTAATTCCAAAATGGGAACACGAAAAAATCAAAAATATCCCCTTGAAGAATTAGGCTAGCTATTCTCCTCATAAACCAGGAATAAGAACCTACCAATTTTGGAGAATCGGTACTACTAGTACCGGTAGCTATATCAGTTTCCGATGATAATTCTATTTCACCTTGAAATATAACTTCTGCTAATGGCTGTACTAGTGATGGATATTGTATTATCAACCATACCTATATAATTAAATTAGATGTAATTATTACATTAACACACAAAGGCAAAAAAGTTTTGTTAGTCAAGACATTTTTGATTGGGGTTTAACATTAGGTAGAACTGTCAATATTAATAAAGGGACATAACTCTTGCTTTCATTCCATCAGACCTACTAATGTACAGACAAAATATTCAACTGTAAACATCATGAACTAACATTCTAAAGAACTTTTTTCTTTTATCTTATGTAAGTTCCAGTGGCACTATATTGTCATTTATTCATTTATAATAATCATTGGAGTTTTTTACATTTGTTTCCCTTATGTACAACTGCTGATACTTTGATAACTTCTATTTCCTTAAATTGGCTCTTTGATACAAATAACACAAAATAAGAACACCTGCTTGATATTATCCATATTTAATTCATGTACTAACTACAAGTTTGTGTCAATAACATTACTTTGGTATATTCAAAAATACTGAAAGTGAAATGTGCTAGGAAACTAATCTTAGATGTGTGATACGTTTTCAAAAAAAATATCAAGTTTTTTGTACGAGGTCGGGACGAGCTTCTTGACTAGCAATCCCTTGAGTCTGGACAAATTTGTCTACAACTCATCAATCGCGTACACAGTGAAAATTTCCCCTATACATTTGTTTTTTTTTGTTTCCCAGAGAGTAATTGAATTTGAAGGTTATTGTTGCATTTTGATTATCTCTTGGTACAGTTTACCAACTTATCGCATAGTCACATTTATCAGGTCACTCCACAAAAACTTGAAGGTAAGCACTCTGAACGAGTTATGGAACCTTAACCAATTAAATATAGCTTAAAAACATGAGCTGAAACTTCAAACAAGGTAAAATATCGGCTGTTTCACCACATTTTGGTGTTTGATTTTCAATCATTATCTAATAGAAATTGTTTTCCTAGATATGTATAGCTAGATACTGGTTAAATTAACACCAAACTTTTGTGGTGTTTTAAAAGTGAAGACATTTTAAATACAAGTACTAACCTGAGATAGTAGAAATAATGACACTACTGAACTCACATGTTTCCTCTCACCCTGTAAACAACAAACAAAAACTTGTAGAATTTTATAAACTACGCATCTGAAACATATCACATCTTAGTACTGAATCTCAAGTTGTTTTCCTCTTTCGCAAAAGACCACATTTCTGAAATAGTTGGTAACTGCAAGTAAGTTCAGTCAGGTAGGAAATGAAATGTTCTGCTCTGACTGCGCTAATGAAAATGGGCATACACTATATAGTGCGCTATGAGGGAAATTTCGCCTGGAAAGAAGCGCTACGGCTACGGGCCTATTCTTACACTGAATTTCAACTGCCAAGGGTTCTTTTACGTGCATGTCAATGTGTACACAGGACTCAAATTTTTGTCCCATCCGAGAGACTATACATTGTCTCTTGCTAGGCCCTCTGTCCTGCATCACTGACAAGAGGAAAGCATGCTGGAAAATGCCGACTGACCTTATCAGCCAACACCTGCATCGAACACTGGACCTCTCAGGTTTGCGAGCCAATGGCTTATTCACTAAGCCACCATGGCTCCCTCTGGCTATAAATGATACTCTATATGGGTGTGATATACGGTAAAAATACAATTTGTTTTTGACATGGCTCACTTGTAATCATTATGAGGGATGGCATACAGCAATTATGATCAAGCTAAATACATCGCCTATTTCTAAACATAATTATAAACAGTTTACCCGTGCTTCTGCAGCTGAGAGTCTTTTTCTCTTCGTCAATGAGTAAACATAAAGTGGTATTAACAAACGATTTAATAAATGATCTGTTATAACTTCATTTAAAGCATCGATATTAATATTTAATATATCATTAAGATAATGTAGATGATCTAGATGTTCGGCTACTAGAGCTGATAAACGATCTCGACTTCTATGACTGAAAATAAAAACAAAATATATTCAATCTGTGCTAAATAAAGAAAATAGAAATGAACATCTTAAATCTGTCAATTAGATGTTTATAAAATGGTCTTTTCTTCCCCAAGAAATTCAAATTAATGAAATTAAAATCATTCCTCATTATGTTCCATAATAACAAATGAAATTTAAAATCCCAGATTTAACCACAGTACTAGTTTACTATGAACTTCATATGTATTTTGGGATTTAGTGGTTTTCAATGCTAGGATTTTCAACAATTAGGTGAATACATGTGTATAATTTCTTGTGTTATTAAGAGTGACAATGCCTCTTTAATACCATCATAAAACAAATAGTGTCTAAGTAAAATAAATGACTTCTTTAAGTGGCATGGTAGTAATTGAAAAGTAAAACACTAAAAACTATTTATGGAATAACAATTGCTATAAAGATACACTAGTAATTGAACAGTAACACACTAAAAACTATTTATGGAATAACAATTACTACACACATACACTATTAATTGTTATTCTATAAATAGTTTTTAGTGTGTATAAAGCAGTAGTAGTATACTTACTCCGAGTCATGTCTTACACAGAGATCAACAGTTAATATATGATTACCAATAAACCATACTAAGTTAGAGAAATATGGTGCTGCAGTACGATCTCTTATATATCTTAACATTGCTTTATCATCAACTGAAATTAGTTACAGCAAGGTATTGTTAGAAAAATATACAATCATATAAAACCAACCCAATGAAAGTTATTATTTCTTTATCTAATTACTAAATAAATCTAAGTATAGTATAGTATAATTTGTTGAGTTGGGGCGCAGAACTAAGGATCCCAAAATGTTGTTGGATCTCAGAAAATTCAGTTGCAATATAAAACAAACTCAATCCAAACAAATATCAGCTATCTTTTTATAAATATAACAATTTTGTATCTTCACTAATCATGACGTGTTCAGAAAACTTGAGATAATGAATAAATTAACAAAGTTCCAAGGATCACGGCACACCACAACCTGTGTAAGTATTTCAGCTACATGAACTAAAAAGCCATACAAAGTAAATATAAAATATATGGCTTATTAAAAAAACCAATACATATGATGACTGACACCCACACAAAAAGCATATAACAGACATTGTGTTATTTTCTTGCACCTAGTCTTTGTCTACCACTGGTAACAATACAAGATGAAATGTATTTTATCAGAATGCTATACTAGTAAATGTAAATATTATTTGTCCTTCAGAATGTGATAACAGTAAATGTAATAACTTTTCATTTAATCATCCCAAATTTTCACAGATTACCATTTGAGAGAGAGAGAGAGAGAGAGAGAGAGAGAGAGAGAGAGAGAGAGATGAGGTTTAACCTCGACACAAACTAGGTCATTTTGGGACTAACAGATAGTTCAATTTCATTTCAATAATCCGCTTAGTGGACTGGAATTACTATCATTTATTATTGCGGATTATTCATATATATATTGGTCGACCCATTTTGTGTAAAATAGTACATATTGTTATCAGTAAAATGTTAAGTATACAGGTCCAACATGAAATAATAATACACTATTACCGGGACAAAATGAACATGCCTGTTCTTTAGAAGTGTTTCAATAGAGAGAAAGAGAAGAGAGAGAGAGAGGGGGTTTAACATCCACTCGACACAAACCAGGTTATTTTGGGACAAACATATGGTTCAATTTTATTTGCTTGTGCATAGGAGTCTTTAGTAGTGAGAAGAAACTGGAGGACCCGGAGTTTAACCCACGAGGTTGAACAGGTGACCCTACTCCTTGCCAGGTACAACCATACAACTAGGGAATTAAAAAAATGCCAGCTGACTCAATGACAGACCTTATGATACAACACGCTAACCATTCGAAGCCCCCCTCCCATTTGAAAGGTTGAGATAAAACTGAAGAAAACAGATTGCAGCCAAATGGAATTGACCTCCTACTTTCACCCTGTTTTACATTAATACTGAAATGACCCATGAGTAAACACTACTGTGAATGGTAGTGTAGCAGATGTCAACTGCTATATGTTGTACAGAAATAAAAAGAGGCAAAGTCTATTAGTCTATTACAGGATCCAATAAACAGTTATTAATGACTTGAAATTAGAAAGTGGTCTATGACAATGTAGATACTTCCTGGCTGTAGATAATAAATATTTCAGCTAAGGACTCTTTCCAAAGGCAGTCTTTGGAAAAGTCAAAACTAAAATTGTCAAGATGTATATGGTTGTGAATACATAAACTAGTAACACACAGCAGTTTGTAGGCTAGATTATGTAATGGCCCTATTGTTAATGGATACATATCAAATACAATTCAGAAGATCTCAACGTCAAACGTATATAACGATAATGGTGTGAAATCAATAAAAAGTAATGTAAACTTCAAATGGACATAACTTTAACTACTAAGCATTATTTTCTTCAACTGGAAAACCAATATTACATAGGTAAATGCGGATCTAGTCAATTGGTTTTAGTAACAAAAATCTAAACTACTGCTATGTCATCAACAAAATGTGTATGATCTACTACAACAAATGGTACCGTACAATGATAAATGTCTTCAGATACCGAGATTAGTAAAAATAAATAGCTGACTTTTAGCTTGTCTAAACTCTTAATTAAATGAACTGAGCTAAATGAAAGTCATCCCTCTTGTCAGTATGATATCATGAAAATGTGAGTTAGATTTTTACAAACAGTATTCATTCATGAGAAGAATAACATGCTTGGATAACAGCAATGCTGTGTAATTTACATATATATAATGTCATTAAAAATAATTTAACAAAATAAAAACTTAAAATAAATACTGATAACTTTAAAAGAAAATTCAAAATGATCTATGGTCATTCTGATTTAAATAATCATTCTTGATATTTTGTCAAAGTTTTCATTCAGATAAACATTAAGAGTCTTTAATGAATACATAATATGATTTACTGCCATTCAAATTTAAATAATCAATTCTGATTTATTATCATTCACATACATATCAAAATTGTTAAAAAAAATTAATTCAAAATGGTTTATTGTCATTCAAGTTCAAATAATTAATCTATTTCAGCGAATTGAATTGTGTGCATGCTTATAATTTCATTTGTGTACATACTCAAGCTGTTTAATCACATTCTCTAAAATATATTGCACAAATGTAAATTTATAAAATCAAGCATCATAACAGTTTGGTGTATCTATTAATAGATGATGTTTAATATGATATATATATATTGTGATAAAGTTTACTATACATGATCATTTATGCTAGAATAAAAAAGGTAGGATCAACTTATATTATATTTATATATATATATACTTGTACCTGATGAATTTGATTGATTTGAAACACCTGTTAACAAAATGATTACATGTTTAAATAGTCTTCAAAAGACTTTCTTCTATTTGAAACATTTTTTACGGCTGTTATAGCCAATAAAACATATTGAAATAACACGTTATAGCCAATAAAACATATTGAAATAACAAACATATTCAATAACAAACTACTGGTAAAGTATTTAAAGTTGAAGCAGTTTCAAGAATTTATTTACTGTATTTGTCTTTTAATCATTTATTAAACTTAAAATGTGTAAGATTATCTAGGCCTATGTTTATTTGTATGGTGCCTTTTTGTTAAAGCAACGCATCAAATTTTGCAAAATATTCAAAAATAAGTCATCACCATAAATGTATTTAGTGTTTGAAATCCTTTAGAGTCTAAATAAGGTGTCATGCTTTACAAATAATAATCCTTGGTGTGCTTGGACATTAAAATCCCTTGAATATGAAATAAAAATTAAAATTAAAAATGTCTGATCTGATTGATAATTCTAATTTTACAACAACATTCATGACAACACCCAAAAGAATAATAATTTATAGATTAAATAGATTCATGCATATCATAAATCAAATTAAATAATTATTATTGACCTACCTTTGTACACATTTAATGTTATTGTTCGTACAGCTATTCTCACCATACTCTCAGAGTGGTTGAAAAATTTAATTGCTTCTGTATACAATGCAAAATCATTAGTGTGCTTAAAAAAAACAACAGACAGAACAATTATTATGTTAAACATACATTATGCGAGTGCTAAATCTGCCGATTGCAGGTCTTTCTTTAGGCCTGAAATGTTATCTAAATTATTAATTAGACATTAATTAACTTATCCAGGCCACAATCAACTCTCGATGGCATCAGATTTCTCTGATACTAAATAGATTAGAACAGTTCAGCCATATTTTGATTTAAGCTAAAAATGGAGGAGCGAGACTTAGCTTTGAACAACCAGTAAGGTGGTTGAAATTATTGCACACGTATTGTCAAACCTTCAAAAGCTAATATCTTCGCTCGCAATAGAGTAATTTGAATGAAATTTTCAAATTATTCATTTTACATTATCTATTTTCGAACTATTATAGCAAGAATGGCTACTTCTTTATCTAAATCTTATATAATGTATCTTTAATTACAGATACATGTAAATCATAAACTTGTATCTTGAAATATTCTCAAAAAGAAAAGAATTTGAACTGTTTCATATTCTATATTCTTGGAAAATTTGCTATTAGGGTAATAAAGAGAAAACGTGTATAATTATATCTATGATTTTATATGAAAGTACTATGTATAAATTATTCATTATTAAGAATCTTACCTCATTGTAGAAAAAATGAATAGTATGCCTGTTTAATTTTAATGATAATGTCTTGAGAAATGATATATAATATGCCATAACCTGTAATTAAAAAAACATATAAATCACTATTATAACAGGGGGGGGATGGCTGAATGGTTAGCATGTGCACGCTGTATCATAAGGTCTGTCATTAAGTGAACTGGCATGGTTTTAATTCCCTGGTTGTACGTGACAAAGAGTAGGGTCAGCTGTCCAACCTCATGGGTTTTCTCCAGGCCCTTCGGTTTCCTCCCACTGCTAAAGACCCCTACGTGCAAGCAAATTATTGAAATAATATTGAACCATATGTTAGTCCCGAAATGACCTAGTTTTTGTCGGGTGGACGTTAAACCCCATTTCTCTCTCTCTATCCATTATAACATGTAAATACAGACCAACATGATATAAAATTGTAAAACACAAGTCTTGTAAATACATTACATGTAATTGCAACAATTCCACACCTAAAATAATTTTGTGTTATCGTGTATTACACTGCATCACCAAGATGGAGACATTGTCAAGCTTGGTCTGAGGTCTTGGGGATAACCCAATACTTGTATTAGATCAGATTGAAGTGAGGCTAAAATGGCAGCAACTCTTGTTTGTTCGACGTTATTTCGATAACTGTATGAGACAAGAGTATGCTCTGCGCCACCACCCTCTGGACAGGCCCCCGATACATGTATGGTACACATCAGATGCAAACATCATATTAAACATTTTACCCCTGTAGTATAAATAATTGAATCAGGCTACCGGTATATACAATCATCAAATTCTTACCTCTTCATCCGAAAAATCAAATTTATGTACAATAATAGAGTTGATGTGGTTATTTGACAATAAATAATCTGAAAAAATAATTACAACAATATATATTTCTGTTCTAAGACCATGAATTAGAATAGTCCTTAAAATCTGTGGAAACAGTAAAACTCTCTTTGAATTAGGTCAAGAAGAAGTGGTGAACTGTTGATCTGGTGTGCATTACTGATGGGGTTAACTCGACACATTATATTTTCATAGTATGTTTCTATTACATTTTAACTCTTGACAGGATTTGACAAACTACCGACTTTTACGTCACGTCATTCATTCAGCAGGCGGCTGTCTTTGAGACAGTTTGCACTTTTTCTGTTTGCTTCTTTGTATTCCGTATTGTTTGTTTTTTCCTCTGTTTTTGTGGTAAATGGAACATATGCCCTAACTTTATAGTCAATATACCTCAATTCTTTTAAACACATAAAATGTTTCTCACCATGACACAGACCATTTAGTTTCTTGGCTTTTTTATACCAATATGGTTACTTGTATACATGTAGGTAAATTATTTACTTCAATATGCTTACACATTCATATTTCATGTGACATATAGCAGATCATGACTCGTACTAGTGTTTTTCTCTGGGTTATATTCCTGATTGTTTAGTTTTTCAATTTTGAGTGAAGTGTGTATCACTACTGACCCAGAACTGTATAGCGCAGTGGACGCTTACTTCTAGCCCCTGGATCTATTACCTTAATCTGATATGTAAGTTTGTTTATGATTTCTGCGTATTGTGTCTTGTCCGTAGATTTGTTTTGTGTAATTATGTGTGGTGCAGTCCCCCTGCACGTACTAATAGTATGTATAGCAAGGTGTTTAGAAGGTGAATTTATATGGTAAATATGGATTGTCGTCATACAAGTAGAAATTATTAGAAAAAAAACATGGGAATATTTTTTAAAAAACTCACATAAAGATGTTTCATTTCGTATATTTTCAAACAAAATATTCAAAGTTTGAAGCAGCTGCACACAAATGTAACGTCCATACTTCTGTCGAATGTATCGTAGGAAAAAAGACAGCATATTCTTCTCCAGAAAGAAACTGTAATGGTAAATGAAATGAGTATATGTACATGTATCATGGTCTTTCTACCAATATAATCATTCATTTTCCTCCATCTAAAGTACATCTACAGACAAATTCAATTTCAAAACTTTTTCAAAATTTTAAAATAGTACTGATTAATAGTAGTCTATATGTATGATGTTTACAAGTTAAGTCAACTACATAACTATAGTCTACACAAAGTAACGAGTCAATAATAAAGGGTCTAAAAATAAAACGGAAGGCATAATTATTGAAAAGATTAAGTCTTGTGATCTTTCTGGAATCAATTTCAGTACCAAGTAAGTAGCATATTTATTTATAAAATCAAAGTTTAAATGTTTACTTAAAATCAAATCAGTAGCATAAATATTTATTTGCAAAATCAAATCTTAAATGTTTACTTAATCAAATTTGTCAAAATCATGGAAAATTTTCACGATATGAATAACAACAGTTTTCATGTACCAGTACCCAATTAAAATATTTGTCGATGAGTTTACTTCAAACAGGACTGACACACCTGGGTAAGCTAAAACCAAACAGTATACTATTTTGTGAAGTCATTTCACTATATACCGGTAAATCTACCACATAATCAATTAGAAATAACAGTCAATAGTTCCTATGTAAAGTAATTCATGACAATACCTTGTCTAATATGATCCTGTCAAATGTGATATACTTACTCAAATACACTGCTATCATTTTGATCACCCCATATGAGTATTTCTGAAATTGATCTCAATGTTTCAACTAACAAACTACGATTCTGTTCTGTTACTGTTTGATTTTTACCCAACATACCATATAAAAACCTGAAAAAAAAACAAGTAACAAAAATAAATCATTTATAACTAATTTGAACCTAGTCAGTCTCTTGGACGTTAACTGTTGGACTTGGCCGATATATTTTCTATCGCTGCAAATGTCTACCCACAGTTACTCGTGCTAGATGACAAAAATTTGACTCAACCAACTATTTGATTGCCTAATCCCTCTCATCAACCAGAACGAGGGTTATTTAACAACTCTTCCTGATCCTAGCTTAGTGAACACATTGAAAAACGAAATTTTGAATTATAAAAAACAAAAAGAAATATGATATACATGTACAATGTATTTTAATCAGATTGGCCATTCTCATATATTTCAGTTGATGCACAAACATGGATTGTAAATTTTCAATTTCTTCACAATGTTGTGTGTTACCGGTATAGTTCTTTCTTTTGTCCCCATTATTGGTTTCTAAATTCTAATTGTTTATTTTTAGAAACCTTGATCCATTAAAGCAGCCATTGATATTTTATAGACACAGAACCCTATAAAATTAACAATTTGCTTATACCCCAAAAAACATCCACGTTAAAATGTGGTAATATATTGTTTTCTTATTCTATTTAATGGTCATTCTTTTAACCCAGTGAACATTACGTATGAATTTGGAAAAATAATCAACAACTGATCCACGTTAAAATGTGGTCATATATTGTTTTCTTATTCTATCCATCAGTCTTTCTTTTAACCCAGTGAACATTACGTATGAATTTGGAAAAATAATCAACAACTGATTGATAATTTGATGACAATGAAATCGGATGATAAGCATTTTGTATAGTGTTCACAAGCAACTGTGGATGAAGGTCTCAAAGGCTCAATAGCCTACCACTCTTGTTGTAACTGAATAATATGTCCCAATCTTTATTCTGGTCAACAAATTGTACTATTTTACAATATTCCAATTAATTGATGATACAAATTTCATCTTAACACACCTAATTTAAAAAATAGGAAAAATTCAACTAAATGATTTGAAAAGCCTGACGTAAAGCTTTTCAAATGTGACTTGGATTTAAAAATATTTTTGAACCCTCTGGACAAGTAAAATAGGATTTAATGGATAATTTACACAACAGGTAAGACACTAACACATCTAGTACTTAGAATAAGGCTATTTTTTATTTTCTGGAGCTGTCATAGTACTCATAGATAACAAACCTTAATCTCTCAACCCTCCGTGTTTAGAGATAAGACATGAGGCCATTACCTTCAATGTAGTACATGCGGGTGCAATCCGCACCCGGCATTTGTAAACAAAATTGACAATATTTTTAATAAAAACAACGATTGATTATTGTTATTTATAATATTTCTGCCAGACCCAACTACAATTAAGCATATAATCCTACCTGAAACGGGTATAAATTGTCGTTTTTAAAATCGAGGCGTTAAGCCGTTACTAAGACTGCCATCTTTTTAAACGATACGCTGTCATCATGAAGGCGGGACTAAATATAAGGCTTTTACAGCCAATCAATAGGGCAATCTAAAGCTCTGTAACTTTGAATGGATTTCGATGGGGGTTAAAGTCAGACAAAAACAATGCTTCATTAATTTAAACGCGAATATTTGGAGTTAGGCGACAGTTGTGCCACTACATTGGCCTCTGTAAATTTAATTAATCATAATAGCATAAACTTATCTTATTTTAAAGATGTTACATGCATTAATAAAGAAATTGAGTTTGCCACTTGGAACTAAAGGCATCCAATCGTAGCTAAAAACAAACACATCAGTATATCTCAACGTTTTTAGCTATGTTATTATTAACATTAACCAGAATAACTTAGCATGTCTGTGGTGAAACATAACAAAATATCATCTTTTCATCATGACAAATTCTAGACTTTTTCTCTCAATAGTTCTGTTTCGCATCTTCAAGATCTTGTTCCATGTTTTAGCAACAAAGGTCCATGGCAACACACATTCCTTTTATTTGAGAAATAAAAGTTATCAACCAGAAAACATGGTCTTTGACATCATCTTCAAGACTACATGACATGTAAATTCTTATATCATTAGACCTAGATAGCACAGGCATAGGGTTCATCGGAGTTCATCCACAATCGTCAATCAGTGTCAAATGACGATGTAGGCCTACCGTACACTCATGAAATGAAAGCTAGCGAACAGATTAAATATGCGTTTGCAATTTAGTGATGAATTTACTGGTTAACGTGAGAAGATGATGTTTAAAAAAAAAATGTTATCCACATGCATAAGCCTATATGTTGAATAACAAAAAAAAACTCGGTCAAATAAAAACTCACTTTAAATGTTCTAAAGAATGGGGGTTCTTGGGTTTCCATATTGCTCCCGAAATCCAGTTCTTCTGTCGGGTGAACATTTTGACACTTATTCTACTTATGTCGTCTTATAAATTCTTCAGACGATCACAGTGTTCTTATTATTATCATTCTTTTATATTTAACAACTTGTTGATAATTTAATTCGCCATTTTTCTCAGGTGATCAACAAAAAGTTACGCCCCTTCCTCTAGCTCTCCATTAAGAGTTCCGTCCCTTAGACCACGACCCAAACTATAGTGCTGTACATCGGTGCAGATGATGTCCACTGATCAGAAGTGAATATTTGCTAGGCCTCTTCAATCACTGATATTAAGGATGCTATCGATCCGACTTAATGAGCCACAAATATATATATTTTTTTTCATCCGACAAATTAAATTCAAAAACATTTTTTTTATGTAGACCTATTAGAAAAATAAATAAAGACGTTTGAAGTATTTGTAGGTAAAAATTATTTTCTATTTTATATTTAGAGTAAAAATGAGTAAAAAGGCACAATTCTGTCCGAATCAGTAACGTCTTGACAGTTGGAATTCGATATAAGAGTAGGCCGTAGTGCCGCTGTCCGGGCAAAATTTCCCTCATAGCACACTGTATGGCGTATGCCCGTCTTCATTAGCCCAGTTTGGAGCAGAACAGAAGGACGTTAAACCCCATTTCATTTCATTTCATTTGTACTGCGGATCCATTCGCCTGATTAATTTAGATCTATGTGATTTTAGAGTAAAGCCTTTAAAAAAAAGAAAAAGTGCAAACTCGTGACTGTAGGCTACAGCGAATCCATTCACTCGATTTTATATTATTTCTATAGTATTTACTCTTTACAATGTATGATGTGTCATGATCCACACCCCAATTATCTAATGAGAGCCGCGGTGACTCAGTGCATAAGACGATAAAACGCTAACCAGGATGTCTCGGGTTCGCTCCCGGTTTGGTCGAGAAAGTTCTTCTGGTCTTTTCCATATATTCTAAAATAATATTCTTTTATTGGGAGGTCCGCCTGGATCGAAAATCAGATACTGTTTCAACTAGGTGTCCTGGAGATACACTGGTTCAGTGACATAAAATGTCTGGTAATCCAAATGTGGTCATAATTTTTGGTACCCGTCATAAGACACGAAATAGTACCGTCCCTGCTAACTCTTAGAAATATGATGGGCAGGTGGTATTAATATTATAGTAAATTATATTGTTTGAATCTAAGTTAAAGATGCATATGTAAAAGCTTAATCTGCCTATTGCAGGTGTTTCTTTTTTTTTATATAAACAATATTTATTCAGATAACTGAAAGGATTAGGGAACAGGACAAAGCCTATATCACCCCTCTCCAAAACAAAGTTATAACATATTTACATTGTAATAAGTGTTACATTTATAAATAAGTAAATGAGTAAAGTAAAGTTCCCTATCATAAGTTTTATAAATTAATAAATTAAAAATATGTACATGTATTGCTACCCTGTTATTATAATAAATATTACATAAATTAAAATTGATAATTAACATTCTTGATTCAATTAATTAAAACGTTTCGAATATTCAATAAACCTATGCACCTGTTTAAAAATAGTAATATTTTCAGCATCTGAGAGTTCATTATTGCCAAAGAGTAATGTTAATGTTGGATTGACTTCAAATGTCATATAAATTATTTATACATTTGAAGCCAAAAGTATTTAGACCAGGGCTGAGGGCAAGTTAAAATTTCCTTTTCAACTGGTTTACTATGAGTTAATTATCGAAGCTCCTAAAACGTGGTCATTTTCGTACCCAACCTATTTCAGAGACCAAACAAACGTATTCTTGATCATTAGTTTTATTCTGGACTCTTTATCATTTTCATACAGGAATACAAATACATCGGCTGTACCCTTCAAAAGAGACATGCGCCTTTGCTCGTAAACAAATCCATATGCCAAAAATCAACGTTCAGATGATGCTGAAGTCGCACATGCAGCCAGGTAGCGATGATACATTTTTGATAGTTTTGGCAGTCGTTCACTGTAGCTCTTACGACCATCACACTTCGTGAAGTGGTTTCAAATCCAAATAGGTGGCATTTTGACGGGAAAACGTTTTAAAACAAATCGAATTTGGTATGTTCGACCTTGTTTAGTTCGACCGGAGGCCCAATCCGGCAGACGTAACTAAAGCGACAGTGGCGCTGTGATCTCTAAATGATATTTTGCGTGAATCAGGCCCCATCATGGGCCTAGGTAACGATTTTCCGGCCGAATATGCATATGTATGACGCCACAGAGTGTCAACGCGTTAATTCATTATATAAATATTAACGCGTTTAAAAATCTCATTTATACGTTAATCAGTTAATATTAAGTTAATTGCTCTCAGCCGTGATTTAGACATTTATTCACATGACGAGCCTATAATCAACTCTCTAGAACGTCAGGTGGCTGAGATTTAAATGGATTTAAACACCCACGAGGTTTAAAAAGTTAACGATAAAATGGACAATTGAGTTTTTACAAACTAACCAATCAAGTAAAAATGTCCCGGGCTCCAATTCCCCAGACATAATTTCACCTTGATTGAGCGATCTTTGAACTGGTTTTTGCACTAGTCGCCTTGGGCTCGGTGGGGAGAGGCGGGGGACTTTGAGATACAAAAATATGCAATTTTTGTACAACTGAGTACCAATATATTAAATGAAATGTTTTAAGGTACACACAGCATATCCTTTATACAAAAAAGTATGAAGTATATAATTTGCATTTAAGCAAGCTTCAAATAGATAGCTATTAATTTTGCTTGCTTCTGGACACTTGAAGGTCACTTATATCGTGGTATTATGATAATAATAATGTGGTCTGGGCATTAGGAGTGATAAGCTAGTTGCAAAAAGGGAGTCGCGGGGGATCAGTGGGTAAGACCTTGACTCGCCAGCCTGGAGGTCCCGTGTTCGATCCCGGTATATTCTGGCGTGTACACATTGGCGTGCTTGTAAACGCATTCTTCGACACTTGGAATTCAAACTAAAGGCCCGGCCCCAGTGGCCGATGGACACAAAACGTATGCAAAAAGGACATAGCGGACGAGCAAACTTTCGGGGGTGGCTCCATCCGTTTTCATCCGCTCCAGAAATGGACAAAATTGACAAAAATTTGCGAAAACAGAACGGAAAAGAACGAACGTGGGAAGTATGTAGCGGGGATGTCGAATGGATGTTCATCGGAAGCCAAGCGGATGGAAGTGGATGACAGCTCCGACATCCTTCAATATACCAGATACATCCTAGATACAAACGCTTTGTCCGTTTTGAAAACTTTATATACGAGATGCTTACATCCTTTCTATTTCCGTGCTACTAACGATGTATAGACGTTCAAAGTACCTTATCTTTCCCCCCTCTTTCCGTTTTCAGCTGGAGCGGATGTGAGTTGCGAGGATGCCCAGAGGATGCAGAGAGGATACATACAGTGGACGTTTAACGGATGATAACGGACATGGAACGTTTGGTGCTCGTATATGTCGCGCATTTACATCGTACACGGATGCTCGATGGATAGAGCGTATGAAACACGACGTATGCTATGAGTACATGGCGTTTTCAAACGGAAGGCACGTTTTTTTCCCCGTTTTACATCCTCTTTGCATCCGTAAGTGCAGTGGGACCGGGCCTTAAGAGTAGGCCCACTCCCCATAGAACACTGCATGGCGTATGTCCGCCTTCATTAGCCCAGCCGGAACAGACAAGTAGGACGTTAAACTCCATTTCCTTTTTAACTTCATTATAGTTGTGAATGTTATATTTCCAATTCACATATTGTATACATCATATTATATTTATTATCAGTCCAAATGTATGAAAGTCTGTTTAAATTATGGTAATTATGTCGTATTTTACGTGTGTTGTCATTTCGTATATACTTATTAGTAAGTAAATTTGTAATTTCCTTCTGGTTTGGCACTTATGCGATACCAACCCTTCAATACAATGTACTTTGGATGATTAAAACACTGTTTGGGGGGGGGGGGGGGTACAGTTTTATCAGGGGGTTTGATGGCCGATTGGTTAGCAAGTGCGCACTGTATCATAAGGTCTGTCATTGAATCAACTGGCGTGGTTTCGATTCCCCGGTTGTACCTTTCAGATGGTAGACGGATTGAATGACCGAATGGGTAGCGCATGTAAGTGACAGGGAGTCGGGTCGCCTGTCCAACCTCGAGGGTTTTCTCCGGGTCTTCCGGTTTCCTCCCACTGCTAAAGTCCCTTACACGCAAGCGAATTATTAAAATAAACATGAACCATATGTTAGTCCCGAAATGACCTAGTTTGTGTCGAGTGGACGTTAAACCCCATCTCCATCTCTCTCTCTCTCCCTATCTCTCCCTCTCTCTCTCTCACACACACACACACAGTTTTATCAAGTAAATTTAAGATTTAGAATATCGACAGTTGCCACAATGTTAATAATATTAATAAAGGTAATCGATGAGTGTGCAATGATCGAAGTTTTAGCCTGTAAAAGATAAGTGTAATAAACTATAAAATTTTGGTTCACCATTTATTCATAATATAAGTAAACAATATACCACAAAAAGATTATACTAGTAGACATTAATCAAAGTTAGAATAAAAGAGATCTGTTATAGGCTAGACGTATACCATGTCTACTTTTAATGTTGTAAAATTATATTAATAAAGTCCCTAACTAAAACTTTAAAATAATCAAAAATAAAAATTTCCCACATAATAATATTATTAGTTAATATAATTAATAATCACAATATGGATATAGGTATAATAATATAATATATTAACAATATTGAAATGTACAAGTAAAGCGAATTTAACAGAAATAACATTCACTTTACTTACACCCTTAATTAACAAATGGCAGTAATAAACATCTATATAATATATCGGTTTCAAAATATGTACATCACACTGGTATTCAACAACTTCTTCATGAAGCACATACAATTTGAACTTGGGTCATGAAGCTATTCTATAGACGACGTCAATTATTTAATGGGTACAAATAGAAATATTATTCGAAAAAAAGATATATTCAGTTTTTTTCTTACGTATATATAGGAGAAATGTATTGTTATTATTCACATTATGACTGCTTTAAATTTGGAATATCGGACGTGGAAAGGATTACTTACTATCTGCCCTTGGTTCATCATTTATAGGATTTCCTTTCTTAGCTTTTACCCTGTTTTATAAGGGCTGAGCGTTCAGTAAATCTGTTCCAAACCGAATCGTCTAGATGCTAGTAATCTACAATTAACTTGTCAATCAAGGCGGCAGCTCAATTTTTATGCTCTCATGAAATTGCTTTCGAATATAATCTGCTTCCGCCACGCTGCAGACCCAGGACATTTGCCCGATTGCTGTGTCCGACAGGAATGAATATATTCTATGACCGTTCCGAATACAGAATGCTGCCCCTGTCCACATAGTTATTCTATTATATTACATCTTATACTTACAGTCTATTACTAATACACGTATTTAAATACCATAAAATCCATACGAAAATTACAACTATATATACTAACATATATTTTCAATGACCTATAGTAATTCAAATGGAAATACACGGGACACAAATCTATGGAATACAATTACCGTTTAATCATTAATGGGCGATATTTCGATTAGGATTCTCTAGTTTTGACACCTGGGCCCAGTTTCTCGAAATCTTAAATAAAGATAAAATCCAAATTTCAGTAGATATTTCAGTTTTGATTGGTTAAGCGCACTAAAATCAATCTAATTTTATCCAATGAAATTACTAAAATTTGGATTTTTATCTTAGTTAAAATTTCGTGAAACAGGCCTCTGATTATTATCCATTCTTTACACAGTGATCCATCTACTTCGAGAATAGACCTCTGCCCTGAATGGCCGCCATACCCAAAAAATAGTATACTATTTTGTAATGCGGTTCTACCCCGTTTCACGTCTGTCATACACACAAAGAACAAATAAAACTCTTTAATTTTATTGAATGGATGCGGAATAAATACTTCTCAAAGTTCTCGACGTGTTTTCGACTAAAATTGTCGATTTAGGACTTAAAATATCGACTTAGTGTCTGCTCGAGGCTACCTGTAGACAAGCAGCCTAGTCGAAAGGTGGCTCCATAATATACAGTAATTGTTTTCTGTAGAATTGCGCCCTGTCTGTATACCAACAACATTAACACAACTATAGAAATCACAATAAACATACGTACGTTAAACAAATATTATAAACCAATTAGGAATATAGTCAATAAGACATACAAAATTACAAACAAATAAGTCAAATTATGTACAATTATTAAGAAATCTGTATTGAGACTAAAGATTTCAGTCAGATGTCATATGCCATTACTATATGACAGCACTATAGCGGCAATATCTTACAATTAATCCACATTTAATTCCAACGAATAAAACAAGAGGTACCCCCCCCCCCCCTCCCCACACACACACCCTTTGAAGAGTATGCTATGGTATTTTATTTCTAAACAATTTCACGAGATTAGGCAAATTTTAAAGTGGATATACACTTTACTTAGCATAGTCCTTTAAAAAAAAAACTGAGGGAGACATCATTTAGGAAATAAGTGGTTTAAGTACTAGCCTCAAATTAGCGGTAGTACAAAAAGCAGGTTGTCTTTACAAGAATTTATGCTGGCTGTATAAATTATCTAATATTTAATATTCGGTTTATCAATTTAGGTTGAAATAAGTAAAAATTGTATACCAATAATAACAGATGCCACAAGCAGTTCCTGGCTACAGCTACATATAAATCGGTAGGCTTCACGGTCGTCATATCCCACAAAATAACTTCACTGGGTAGTTTTGGGGGGTCAGATCTTTATAGTGAAATAAGTACAAAATAAGCCTTTAATAAATTGAAAACAGTTCAGAGAATGCTGATCAGAGTTCTACATACAGTGTGGAAGAACCCGAATTTAGTATAGCATTCTAATAATTAAAACATCGAAATCAATACTTGTAGATTGTAATCTTCAGGTCATTTAGGAGAAAATATAATGGCAATCATCGTCACCTGTCTCTGGTATAACTCACGAGATTTATATTAGTTGTGCTGTATACAGTAACAAACACAAATTGTCCTCTTTTAATTTATCATTGATAGTTTACGAGGATGCTGGAACCTTCATACGATTCCATTATGTACACTTGTTATTTTAATTCCGCCCCTTTTGTATTATTATTTCTAATGCGGATCATCATAATGATGAATAGTTTCTCGGATCCAGTCTATGTAATGTGGTAGTACGGTATAAATTCCAGGAACATGTGGAACGGCACAACCGACACCCCATGATACAATTCCCATTTGTACCCATACATCGGTTGTATTTTCTTTCCGACAAACAAACGGTCCTCCACTATCTCCCTAAAAGATTGAAAAGCAAAAGAAATGCCGATCATTAGTATTTGTATCAATTAATATTTAAATTAGTAAAATTAATAATAAACTACATGTTGTCCTTTGGCACACTTTACCTTTACCTTCGGTAAAACTTATCTCTGTCGGTCGCCCCATAGTACCTAGATTTAAACCCTCCCATAAAGTCTGAAATCTAAACCCTCTTAGCTGCATTGTAATACATTCTGGGCATATTTTTTTAGTATAGTTAGCAGTGAGACAAATGGCAACATGCTGATAGAAATTGCCCCATAATTGCAGTGGGGGGAATATGGATGATTTAAAGTGAAAATTACTGGCGTTTTGGTACTATTTCAAGTATATGAGAAAGGGAAAGTAGAATATTTAGGTAGACACCACACTTGTAACACAACGCACAGGGCCTCACCCTCAACGCCTCTAAGGTAGACAACCCCCTCGGACACCCTCTGCCCTAGTGCTTCAGATTCTTTCAAAATGCCCTGTAAACATTTAACTGAAACAGTCATATCCTCGACACACTGAATAACGGTAGGAAGCAATAACTTACTGCACATGCGTCGTGATCAATAGTTCCTCCAGCACAGAACATATTTTCCGTCATCTCATAAGGTACTTTCTGTTCAGCATTTTTTACCGCATCTTTACAAGATTGCCAGTCAACTATGTCTAAATATAACTGTTGTGCAGCTCTCATATAACCATCAGCTGGAAAGACAAAATTTACTCAAATTGATTATTTAATATTTAATTAACAAATTAACAAAACAAGAAAGAGTTCCATCAAATGGTTTATGGTGGCACTGGCTTGTTTTGATCATATCCCGTTAATATCAATTGCATAGTATACTGGATGCTGGCATTTTTAAAATCCATTCTATATGTGTAAATACTGAACTAAATTAAGTTCAGATGCTTTAAAACCAGGACAACTTCTTTGTTTTTATATTTTTATCTGGTACAGTCTTGAAATGTCTTTCAGCATGGTCTTGTTTGGGCTGTATTACTGTAAAGGTTGTTTTGTATTTACTTTGTTGCACAGTCTAAGTGCATTATATATTTGATCTGTAATCAGTGGTCTAAGCCCTTTTGTTTCTAAGGATAACCAAAATGGAAACTGGTAAATATTTAATTCGATCCTGGTGTTGGCCGAGGAGGTTCATCGGGCTTTGAACGTAAAAGAACCCATGGCAGTCAAGGCAGTTGGAATTCGATATAAGAGAAGGTCGTAACGCCGCTACCCGGGCAAAATTTCTCTCATAGCACACTGAATGGTGAATGCTCGTCTTCATTAGCCCAGTTGGAGCAGAACAGTAGGATGTTAAACCCCATTTCATTTTGTATTACTCCTAAGCAAATAATTTTGTCATTTCATGTACACCAGTGGTCCTGAAACCCTTGTTTTCGTTCAGAGATTATTAGGAACAGATTTTTAGACCAAGAACCGGGCCCCAACTGATACACATCTTGTTCTTGTGGGCGACGCAATTCATGTACAATCAACATGAAACTTGGTCGGAACAGGGCAACAGGGCGTTAAACTCCATTTCATTTTATTTCGTAAATTAGAGGGAGATAACACATTTTATAATGTATGTATGATTTGTCCACATCTCTCTTTGGCATTGACGTTCTATTAGGGTAAATATTCAATAGGCCTACTAACCTTCTTGATACGGTTTACCCCAGCCAGCAGCAACACACTTTTTACCCACAACCGGCTGTTCATTTTGTTTTGGTAAACAGACAGGCCTAACGTAGTCTGTGAAGATTAGTGGCTCGCTTAACTGGATCAAAGCAATATCGTTATCAACTATTTGAAATTCTGGATGGCGAACTAGTCTCTTGGCATGACGTACTTGTCTGTGTCTACTATATGTATTCCGCCGGGTGGCTCCTGCTTTGATTGTCCATGCTTTTACGATGTTTACCCTAAAAACACAGTTCCATTTTAACAAAAAAATACAATTTATATGACATGATATTATTCATAAACAATTGATGATTGCAAATTTACTGATTATTCGTCTGAAACTGATATTTCCATAATGGACAACAAAAGAACATAGTGCTTCAGTAGTTCACAATATTGCATTCATAATTATCGCAGTATTAGCGGCGTTGTTTTTAAATAGACCGTAAAAACTCTATATAAAGTCTAGACCATCATGGCGTCAAGGATATAAAATAGCATCTAAAATAACAACCTTTCTAAATATCCTAAAATTATTTGTCATATTTTGATAATATAAAATTCGTCTTACCCTCCGCCTACACAATGGGCAGCAGTTAGTAACCAGCGCTCATTTATAATACTGGCACCACAGAAGAATTTCTCAGCGGATCCACCATGTAAAGAAACTAACCATGGCCAGGAAGCAGGTAAAGCTTCGTCACCATTAACAATACGTAACAAACTAGTATGATGAGCGGGCCGAATTCCACACACTGTAATATAATGATATGACATGAAATGGGCTTTAAAGGAGCTAAATCGCTAACATTTGGGACCTAGAAATTGACAAAAGTGGGTTGCAACGCATATAATACTCTAATATGAATGTATATAAACTGATTTACATTCAATGGTTTCCGTTTTTACTCCAATTTCAAATCAGTCATGTTCGGCGAAATAAGCCAGCAGTCTCAAGCGCGTGCAAATTTCTAGCGTCTGGTTATTCCAGTCTACATACGCCGTTTGATTTGGTGCTATGTGTCTAGCCTCGTCCCTCGAGTCTCTTGATACAACTGGGGCTGAAGCGCATTATGGTACACGATTCGTGTACCAATGGTAAAATGTTTATTTTGTCTTAAATATTGGATATCAAAAGTCCATCTTTTTCCGGTAAGATCACAACATGAATGTTGATTTAATTTGACAAATAAATCGTGTTTTCAATGTTGAAGATTTTGGATGATATTGAGTTAGAGACTTAGCTAGTTTAACGTCCTACTGTTCTGCTTCGATTGGAATAATGAAGACGGGCACACGCCATTCGGTGTGTTATGAAGGAAATTTTGCCCAGTTAGTGGCGCTAAAGCCTACTCTTATATCGAATTCCAACTGCCAAGGGATCTTTTACGTTTTTATGTGCACGCCAATATATACACGGGACCTCGTTTTTTCATACCACCCGAACGACTAGACAACAGATAATGATATGTGTTGCAACAATGCTGGTTTCACAGAGCGGCAAATGTGGATTTACAAATGCAATTAGCCATTAATTCGCAAGGATCACAAGGAAATCGCCAGGCATTCGTAGGCATGCGTAGACATTCATGGTCGTTCATGGAGTATTGCGAAAATTTGGAACATTCTCCTGAAAGTCGCCAGGAAAGCATATTTTTATTGCAACTGTTTCGTAAGGAATCATAAGCCATTATTATTGATGACAAAGTATTTGTAGTGATCTTAAAATAGCTTCAAGGATTTGCCAGCATTCAGGAACAACAAATGACAGATAAACATAATACGTAACATAATTACCTGGATCTTCACAAATTATTTTCACTACTAATTTCTCTAAGCACTGTTTTCTGGAAAACAAAGACACAAAATTACTTCCATTATTCTGATTGCATGCACAATCTTAAGATCCTTTTCAGTCTAGATAAGATTTTCTTTTTGTTTAATATTAAAATGTATGGAGCTTGTCATAATCTTAGTTTGATGGCGCCAAAATATTAATTCAGTTGACACGTTTAAGAATTAATGCTTATTAGTATAAATTTTAAAACAAGGTATAATCCCACAGGTGTGCTTGAGACTATTTCTAAAACAAAAGGGTTTTTTTTATTCTTTTAATATAAAAATGCATACAGGTGATCATTATTGCGAAGGTTTGTCCCACTAAAATAGTACTTCAATTGACACGATGAGATTTAATGCTTATTAATGCACATTTTAAAACAAAAAGTTATCATCCCACAGGTGTCCCCGAGGTTATTTTTAAAACGACAGGTAATACACAATATATCTTACTTTGTGAGGTAGCTTTGAATAAGGGTAGGATCTGTACCCGGAGCTTGGTCAGTGAGTACCATAGTTGGCTTACCACTTCCAGCCGATAATAATGTACTTGAAACATGGCTACAAATATAGATGATTCACATTATTATATGTCATTGCAATTTCTAAAATAAATTCAGTCTTACTATATATATATATCACGGTTTTGATGGGGAAAAGCTTTCGTGCGAGAATGACATCATTTTGAATCGTGTTTTGGTTTGATTCGGATTAACAGCAGCTACTCTAGCAGAAGCAATCCTTTCATTACCAAGCATTCCTAGAAAAAAAGAGCTAAATTTTGGATGTTTGGGTTTAGCCCGGTTCACTGATTTTTAATTGCCAGAATGCTAATCTAAACAACATGTCCAACTTGAGTGGGAGTCACGGTGGCTAGGTGGTTAAGACGCTGGCTCTAAAATAAAAAGCTATTTTTATATAAAGCATATTTATTATTAATAATAATAATAATAATAATTTATTTATTAAAGTGTCACAAATCATTTTATACAGCTAAAACATAATATTATGTTTAAAAAACAAACAGATAAAATTAAAATGATTTCCGGCCATAATTGACCTACGAGACACGACTACATAAAACATATTTAATTCTTTTAGTTCAATAAAATATACTTTTCACTTAAAAACTCAAACTTCGACGCATATTATATTGTAACATTTTGTTTATTTGGATTATACAAAAGTTTTCAGAGACTGCCTTCGGTTCATCATCTTAACCAAGTAATTTCCCAGGCTTTGTTGAATCGAGTCACAATTCATTATAAACTTGAATCTTTGATCAAGATTCATTTCATTGAATGTATGATCTAATTTATTGATTTCCGATATTAGATCATATCTAATGTCGCTATATGTCGGGCAAACTAAAAGATGAGGTTGACAGATAATAGCTTAACACTATTATATACAAATTACTCAATATGACACTTGAAGGATTTAAGTTAGAAAAGATTGTTTTTAACCAATCAACGGATAAACCTCTAGTTTACCAATGGTGAACTGAAAACTAATTATACACATCCACTAACCAAATTAATAGAAAATAAGTGGGCTGGAAATTTCCAGCCTTTAAATTCGCGGACAAATCTTCTGCGATATCACTTCTGTGGAAGTAGACGTTAAAGCACCAGGGGCCTCTTTGATGAAATTTTAACTAAGATAAAATCCAAATTTTACTAATTTGATTGGATAATAGTAGATTGATTTTAGTGCTTAGCCAATCAAAATTGAAGTATCTACTAAAATTTGGATTTTATCTGTAGTTAAGATTTCGAGAAACAAGGTCCAGATAGTAGTAGTAGTCTAATCGTCGGCTGTAGTATATCACCCTTGGTGGAAGCAGACGTAAAACCTCAGAAACGAACGAACGTCTAATCGTCGTTTGGTCTAGGATATCACCTTGGGTGGAAGAGGAGGTAAAACTCCAGGAACAAACGACGAACGAACATCTAATCGTCACTTGAACTAATAACTGCAATATTGGAACTCTGTTTTGATTTAAAGGTAAGTCTCTTTATTTATTGTATGTAAAATGTTTTAAGTTTATTTCGGGGGCCATGATGGCTCAGTGAGGTAAACAATGGCTCGCTAACCTGGATTTTCCATGTTCGATCCCTGCGTTGAGGGAGAAAGTTCATTGGGATTTTTGGAAGTGGTTCCTCCTTGTCAGTGGCGCAGGAACGAGGGCCCCCCAAGGGATAACGTATAGTCGTTCGGATTGGGTGAAAAACCTGTGTACACATTGGAGCGCAAGTAAAAGATCCCATGGCAGTTGGAATTCGATATAGGAGTAGGTTGTAGAGCCGGTGTCCGGGCAAATTTTAGCTCAAAGCACACTGTATGGCGTATGCCCGTCTTTATTTGCCCAGTCGGAGCAGAACTATGGAATGTTAACCCCCGCCCCCCTCCCCCAATTTCATTTTTTTTTTAAAGTTTATTTTTATGTTTTTATATTGTATAAATTGTGTAAGTGTAAGAATAAGATTTGATATTGATTCGATACGTTATTATAGCATCGGTGATATGATTTAATAGAAGGTATATTTCTACTTTATACCAGCTATTTAATAAAATAACTTTTTTTTAACTTGATTGATTTATATCACAATTCTACTAAGCCAATGGGTATGATTTTAAAATATCTAGTAAATACCTGTTTAGTAAAATACATGCGATTTAAAATACTCGTCGATTTATGTCAAATATCAAATTATGAAATGAGAGAGAGAGAGGGAGATGGGGAGAAATGGGGTTTAACGTCCACTCGACACAGACTAGGTCATTTCGGGACTAACATATGGTTTTTAATTTTATTTAAATAATTCGCTTGCAAGTAGGGGTCTTTAGCAGTCGGAGAAAACCGGAGGACCCGGAGAAAACCCACGAAGCTGGGCAGGAAACCCTACTCAAATTATGAAATGAAATGGGGTTCAACGTCCGGGACCTCTAGTCTAGCGAGCCACGGTCTTACTCACTTAACCCCCGTCACCATGAGCATTACTGACAACCATCTGGATAATTTAGCTCATTAACGTCCAAAAGACTTTATGCTATTAGAAAATTGTTGATTTTGAATACATTGTCTTAATGATTAGAAAGTTTATTTATAGCATGAGATGGTGCCATCTGTACTAAGGAAAATGCACGATAACGACAGACTGGCGGGGGCATTATTATACATGTACAACCATAAAAGCGTGTGGAAATATCTTTGAAAACATTTATTGCGGTCTAGAGTGATTGACTTCACATTAAAACTACGACAGACAAAATTCTTAAAGCACGCTGTCTTTTAAAAAATGATATGAAATGGGGTTTAATGAATGAAGCCATTTCTATAGTATCGCACTGCAATCAGCACTTATTATGTTCATGCAAGATTACTGGAAGTTGGTAGGCTGCATTAGCGAGACAAAGCGACAAAAGGAGCAGTACGAATTCCCGAGGAACAAGCCCACCTTGAAAAAGTGCAGTATCGACACTTGTGTGAGCAATCCCATCGTCATTAAGTGCCATCAAGTAGTGAGAGAAATTATATCCTCATGAATACAGTAACGACTGCTGTATATCATCAACATCATCATCAGTAACGTAGTAAAGCTACATGCAAAAGAAACAAGAATAGAAGAAATATTTATTGTCAATAAACTATAACACATAATTATGGAAGAACAATTACTGATTTATTTTGCCGACGTTTCGAAGAGTATTCTCTCAACGTTTTCAAACTAATCATGTTGTTTTCATGACTTTGATCTTGTTGTTGTCATGCATGGTTTCTGATTTGTTGTTATTGCTCAGGGGCGGATCTAGGAATTTTGAAAAGGGGGGGGGGCGCCGCAAAATGAGGGCACTGACCGCGGAGACGGGGCACGCCGCTGAGAGGGGATTTTTTTATCTTTTATTTAGGAGGGGGGGGGGGGCCCAAGAAAATTATCCGTCATTTCCTTGCATCTGTAGCCATTCCAAGAGCTTTTTGGCTGATATTTTCGTCTAAGTAAACGTTCGGAAATCGCTGAAAAAGAGCCTTAAAATCGAGGAAAAAAGCCAGTTGAACATGCGACTCGAAAATTGTCAAGGCGAGCGAGGCATTATGATGGGAAAAAAGACGAATCTATTCCCTAGCCACTTCACTATTTAAGCCTTGTAACTTGTACGTAACTTTTACGTAAAATACAACTAACCAACAACTACTTTGTACTGTCCACACATGAAACAAAGCTACATCAAGTTGCACTCATGCGCGTCGGTGATGGGCATGAGTGTATACGCCGCCGATTCCACAAGATGTCTGTCATAGTCACTCTATAGGATTAGGGCACCGTCAGCTAAACAAGAAGAATTCGTTTGCAAGTGGAAGCATTAATTAGACCAGGGTGTGTTTGAATCGATGGTTTGAGTCATTTGGGATCCCTGCAACGGGTTGGGAACGGACATATTTGGGTCTGAGAAAGGGCACTTTCAGCAGTAAAAAAGGGCACTGTCGAAAATTAGGGGGGCGCGCGTCCCTCGCGCCCCCTAAATCCGCCTCTGTTGCCTGTCTATATATAATTGCCCTACACATTTGTTACTGTACTTGCTTGAAAACGTTGAGAGGATACTCTTCGAAACGTCGCCAAAATAAATCAGTAATTGTTCTTCCATAAGTATGTGTTATAGTTTATTGCTCTATCCAGTTACTAAATGCCTCTAAAAGAAAAATATTTATTGTCCAGTAAGTAGTATAGGGCTATATCTACATCCCATACGGAATGGAAGAAAATAGCGATACACATAATCTATGGCTTTTATTTTTAAATGGAAGGGATGACAATAACTTACTTGTATCCCAATTGTTTACAGACAAGTTGACTGTGTGTTCTGTTCCAGCCATCAGCACATACCTCTTCCCACGAATCATTGGACTGACTGCTTATATTTAAAACTTCTAATCTATAATGATTCTCATCGACTCTGAGCTTAGCTGAAAATATCAGAAATATTCAAATAGACACATCAGCCAAATAAATCAACCAAAAAGAACGAAGAAGATGGAAGCAATTATGATTGGTGGCGCCTGGTGGATATATGGCTTAACAGGGCGGCTCTGGAGATGCTTCTTTGTTTTTAGCTTTCAGATCAATGCAAATAAAAAATTCTGCACTCACCACATTCTGATTCATCGACTCCTTCATAACAATCAATGATACCGTCACATACAGATGTTGTTGGTATACACTGGGTGGAAGCTGGTGAACAACTAAATTCATTTGGTGCACATGTTGCTAAAATATAAAAGAAGCATTTAGTCGATTTCTGTCAGATTAAAGATGTGAACTGTTGGTTTTTATTATCAGGCGTAGAAAATGCATGTTTAACCCTACAGCAATTAATTCCAGACTTTATAATATGGTGCCAGATTTCTGTTTTTCTAATTTAAAGGCACAGGAAGTCAGTCTGTAAAATTGTGTAAATAAGCCTTTATAAAGCATTATTATGAAGCATGACTGGCTTGTGTTTAAAATGTAGCAGAATTATTATTACTTTCTTTGTCCAAGATTCATAAAGATGATCGATTCAAATAATTTTTGTGTCAAAATGGTTTTTAATAAAAGTAATTTTGATGTGTAGTCTGAAACTCTATATTTAAACTTTATTCTAGCATGTTGAGACTTCATTACAACATATTGATCACGGATGTGATGAAAGTAATAACTCGGAAGTTTCTCTTAGCATCGTAACTTTCATTAATTTGGGGGCCAATTTTGGAAGTAATAAAGCATTTTTGAAAGCTGAAATATCACAACATGTTTCCTGCAATAATTGATAATGTCCAATTAGTATTATGAAACTTGTCCTATAATAGATATTTTATAATGTTAAGATGACATTAAGATTAAAGCTTGCCAGTTTTAACCTAAAATAAAATCTAAACAAAATATATCGTCTTTTTAATACCAAAGGTAAAGTTAATGCTTGCCTAAAATAGAACATAATAAATCATTGATAGGATAAATCCATGACGGCATTACGATTTACGAGTATACAGAGCATTACGAAATATCCCAAAACTCATTCTCCGATCTTCATGCATAGAACATGGCATTTGTGTTTGCTTTAACTTTCCAGGAACTAAAAAAAGAAGCTTTAGAAAAAAACATATCGATTGTGGTGTATTTAAGTATACATGTATACAGATATATCGGACGTGTTTAGATTAGATTATGTGCCAACTATGAGACAATGTCAAGCCTTCCGTAAGGCATAAACGATTTATCTTTCAATGTCGGAGTTATACGAATTATTTAGCGTAGATCTGGGATTTCTGATTATTTTAGGCGAGTCTAAGAATGTTTTTATCTTGATATATTTCAAATTAATTACATTTATTTTTTGGATGGTAGTGATGATGTCATACAGATCCAGGAATACGATCATTCATCGACACAGGGCCCCTTATTAGCTACACTATTGACGGCCAATTGCCAAGTATAAAAACTAGGCAAACGGGAAAGGTTTGGTAACCGTTAGTTTTTAAGCTTTTTGAAGGCAGATATAATTTCTTAGTAATCAAATTACAGAAATTTCGCTGGTTCGTATCACGGCGTGGTACAAGAACCTTTGGAATAGCACGATAGATACCACGATCTTCGAAATAGGTGCGAATTTAATACGAAATGACGACATGCAACATAGCGCGTTGATTTTGGTAAAATCATGGCAACGATCATAATACGATTACATAAGTAAGCTTAGTTTCCAGCTTGGCACCCATAGTGTTGACAAAACGTATCCAATAATTGGTGAATAAGAAAAATAATAAATAACATATCACATACCACAGTGTTTTTCATCTTGATTGTCAGCACAATCTTGATAACCATCACAGACCCAATTTTGTGGGATGCATACAGTTGTATCACATTTTAATTCTCCGATTTTACAGTCTAAAATATAAATATAATACAATGTAAATAATTCAAATAAATAAACATCAAATTATATCGATATATAGTTCAGCATCAATGGAGATTGGCCCCCTTTTATTATATTCTATAATAGATATAACTAACCTTTTTTTTTTAAAGTCTGGGGATTCCTATTGAAGACGTCACTAACATCAAATTATATCGATATATAGTTCAGCATCAATGGAGATTGGCCACCTTTTTTATATTCTAATAATAGATATAACTAACTTTTTTTTTTAAAAAGTCTGGGGATTCCTATTGATGACGTCACTAACGCATTCTATTAAGCGCTTGAACCGGGGCACCAAAATCTTTTTCTAAAAATCTATTGTCTGTTAAATTATAGAAACAGACCGTTTCCTTTAAACCATTGTTAAAGGAGCTAAACTCAATATTTTCGACTATCAAAGGTTCCTGCGAATACAACTATACTCCATTTAATGACATAATAAAATGCCAGCTTTTATTTGCCCCTGATCAAGCATGATGACGCCAAGTTAATTGACAACAGCTATTGATTTGAATGAATATAGATGTAAAACAATATATATCTGATTCACATTTATAAATATTCTCAGATTGTTATTGAATATTACAAAGGATTGACAGTGGATAACGTCTGCTCGGCGCCAACTGTTCATTCGGATGGATAAACACTTTGGGCATCTGATTTTAGTTTCTAAATGTTCATTTTGATATCGGCTCTGTGGTCTAGTGGACCGGATGTAAGCATTTGTTTCGGCCACCTTTATGATTTTAGTTCAATAATAAGAAAGGGACAGTCCAGGGACGGGTCCAGGAATTTTTACAGGAGGAGGCTTGCCAGGTACCTGTTAAGGAAATTTGACAGTTGACAATGCATGATGCCCTCATCTTCTTCAAATTACGTAGGCATATAATACACTGAGCTTTTTAACAGAGAAATCCAACACTCTGTTTGACGTCAATTTTTATTATGAATTAATAGGATCACATTCTAATTCAATATCATTGATGCAAAGCATTATTTGTGATACCACATATGTCTATATTTTTGTCTCGCACGTTGAATGCCCAGCCCACCCCACTATCTGATGATAAAGGATAAAGCACACGGCCGTGACACTTCTCTCATAAAAGTGTTGTTTTACAATTTTTTGTATGTGACTGAGCGGTCGCATTTGTGAATGCGGAATGCGACGCCACCCCCCCCCCCCCAACCCACCACGGGAACCCCAACAGGTTATTCCGGTCTGTATGTATACATATAATGGCATTATACCCTTACAATTTTAGCGTCACTAAGCAGGCTACTATGATGTAATTTAGACACGCCATTAATGTTTTATTACATTATATAAATTTGATCTATTAGTTCTATGACATTTAGTAATTGAACAGCAAATATACAGGACACAGATCTATGGAATACAGTAATTGTATTCTATAAACCCGTCCTTGAATGTAATGTTTACGTAAGTATTAAAGGGACTGAACCACCTGTTTCTATATTTTAACAAAATACAGATAATGATGACTCTTACAGGAAGGATTTTCTTTTTTTTTTAAAGTATAGGCGTCCTGTTCAAACACTTTCCGTCAGTTTTATTAAAACACAACTTATATGGAAAACAATCACTGAGTTTATTTCACACTACGTTTCAACAGGTTACAACTTACATGTTAAACAATAGCTGAGTTTATTTCACACTACGTTTCAACAAGTTCCTCTTGTCGTTTTTAAGTAAGTAATGCCAGTGTAATATGTGTGAGTTAGTTGTATTTTACGTCCGCTTCCACCGAGGTGATATCGCAGACAATAACATATTATATATACACAATGAGATTATTTGCAATGTGTAATAGCTAGAAATCAAATTCACAGGCACTTGAAGGGATTAAAATAAAACTTCTTACTACTGCTTGACTATATATTATAGTATATAAAAGGTATTTCAGACGCCATCTTTGTTTACACGTCTTCAAGACATTTCTTCTGCTATGACCTCACAATACTCACTAGTTCTAACACTTCCCGTCGTTTTAATTGCCAACGAGACCTTATTTGATCATTATTCAGCTTCTGATGTAATTAAATTGGTCATTTCACGGCGTTATTAATTACAAATCAAACTTGAAGCGCTATCACGTTCCGAAATGTAACTCGAACAGCCCGGAAATAAGTTGTGATTGTAGCAGTCTGTATCACCCAGTCCCTCATAAACCTATCCGTTACTCGAAATTTTCCTAGGAATTGGGTGATCCAGACTGCACCTAAGGCCTCGCTTCGTAGACTCGATCATTTACCGACCAAATTTCGAGATACGGATAGGTTACTCGATATTTTCCTAGGAATTGGGTAATCCAGACTGCACCTGCGGCCTCGTTTCGTAGACTCGATCATTTACCAACCAAATTTCGAGATACGGCAATTAAAACGACGGGAAGTGTTAGAACTAGTGAGTATTGTGAGGTGATAGCAGAAGAAATGTCTTGAAGACGTGTAAACAAAGATGGCGTCTGAAATACTTTTTATATACTATAATATATAGTCAAGCAGTAGTAAGAAGTTTTATTTTAATCCCTTCAAGTGCCTGTGATCAAATTATATACAACAAGGTAACAAAAACAATAACTAATCTGAAACCATCAAAGGAATAACAAAAAGAACAATAAATAACAATACAAAATGGACATCAAAGATACTGATTAAGGATTAATTAAGATATCATAACTCCTTGTCTCCATTAAGTTCAGGTTTAAATATCTTGATTTAGATGCCTTCTTGTAGTTTTCTGGATTTCTTGTTGAGAAGATGTTTATTTAGCACTTTGACCTCAGAATTTCGAGTCAATTTCGACCCAATAGTAAATGTTTGATACGTCGTGCTAATCCACACAGTATTTTAATTCACTGAACTATTTTTTAATGGATCTTAATGCAGCTTAATTTCCCCCATTTATATCTATTTCATATTGTCTTAAATATTTCCTTAATCACTTGTCTCCAGCATTTTTTTGTTTTACACTTTAAATTGATCTTATGAATTTTAATTAACGTCTACGGACTATTAGCGTTTTAGTTACCATGGTATATTGTTTGTATACGATAGATTAATGTCCTAGGCGATGAATGAGGATATGTAGACCCAAATGAGTGAGTCAGAAAGAACCAATAGTAACTATCAACAAGATTTCTGTCTTCACTTATTCATCCACGAGCATTCAAGAAACTACACAAGAATTACACTTGTACACTACCATATGGGGGGTTGGATGGCCGAATGGTTAGCACGCGCGCGCTGTATCATAAGGTCTGTCATTGAGTCAACTGGCGGGGTTTCGATTCCCCGGTTGTACGTGACAAGGAGTAGGGTCGCCTGTCCAACCTCGTGGGTTTTCTCCGGGTCCTCCGGTTTCCTCCCACTGCTAAAGACCCCTACGCGCAAGCGAATTATTGAAATAAAATTAAACCATATGTTAGTCCCGAAGTGACCTAGTTTGTGTCGAGTAGACGTTAAACCCAATCTCTCTCTCTCTCTCTCTCTCACTACCATATGGTATAACTTTATTTCAATAACTCGCATGCGCGCAAGGGACTTTAGCGGTGAGAGGGGACCCTCCTCCTTGTTACGCACGTGAGAGTGACAACGCCTCTTTAAAAATGTGAAGCCATTTTAAGACATTCTATTTCACAGGATACGATCTATATTGATCTATTCAATCAAAGAAGAACGAACAGAATTGTTTTCGCGAGTAGACCAAAACATGTTCAAATCACAGACGACAAATTGATTTCTAATGAAAAGTTGATTAAAGTGTTTTGAATAGAATTAATTCCCGAAACAGGTTTTACAAAACAAATTATTTTTCAACATTAGATTTACTACCTTCCCATTTCATATTCCCCAGAGTCTCATTTGGAGTGGTGTATAAAAAAAACTTAACGAACACGGCCCTCTATATTTATGCCCCATTTTCAAACGCTCACAGTTCTGCTCGCGCTCCTTTTAGTAAATACTTTGGGCAAACAGCCAGGAACACATGGTTTACGGGGTCGAAGTCTTTATATCTGTCAAGTTACACACATATTTAACATAGTTTTAAACGATTCTGTTTTAATCAGATATGTCAATTTGTCAACCGTGATACAAAACCATTTCAGTCAAAGTCACAATATGCTTTATACTAAAAATGTAGTGTAATATTATTGACCTTATAAATGCACTCGCTAACAAGTTAGATGGGTTTATGTATGCAAATCAAATTCCAAAACGTGACGAAATAGCCTGTTAACCTTGTCCGAAACAATCAGCTCCAAATATTGATCCGTTTGGAAACAATCGCTAAAACCGTTTAGGCCTACTGGGGTTACGTAACTATTTGAGGGGCCTGATATCAGAGGTTATAAACAAAAGAGCCGAACTATTTTTGTTTCATATTAACTGCCCTTGGACTAATGGAAATTTAACTATTATGTTCATATAATAACGTATCGATAACAGAAATGTAAAATGATCCATTATTAGATCAATACACAAGTCATATAGGTTATTACTATCAGAAAATATAAACTATATTCGTATAGAATGATTTGAAAAAACACAGTCCAAAAGTGGTATGTGCTAGTCATAATAAACAGCGACGCCTTTACTCAAACCGAAAATAATGCCAGACCCAACGATTTTGCCAATTACCTAAACACTAGAATTTCCTAAGCGCATGTGACGTCACAGAGATCAAACGTTTATTGAGTAATATCTTTACGCGCTCTATTTGATCAAGTAGTTGGTGATAATGTGTACCAGTTAACACCCGATTTATTTTTATTTCCTAAGCGCGTGTGACGTCACAGAGATCAAACGTTTATTGTGTAATACTCTATATCCTCACACGATCTATTTGACAAACTAGCTGGTAATAATGTGTACCAGTTAACGCCCAATTGATTTTTCTTTATCCCCGTGCGTAATCTTCTTCTTCTGTGGCTTTACGTCCGCTTCCACATAGAGTGATATCGCAGACCAGACAAATATTTCCTAGGATACTTGCAGGAAAAACCTGTCGGGAATGATACACTAATCTAGTATGGGGTGAAAATGGAAGTGGTGCGTAAAAAATTAAAAAGTAGTAGTTAAAGATACATTATGTAAGATTTAGATAAAGAGCTAGCCTATAATAGTTCGAAAATAGATAATTCAAAATGAATACATTGAAAATTTCATTCAAATTACTTTATTGCTAGCGAAGATATTAGCCCTTGGAGGGTTTGACAAGATGTGTGCGTTAATTGGAACCACGGTACCGGTTGTTCGAAGCTATGCCTCGCTTCTCCATTTTTAAATTAAATCAAAACAGGATTGAACCGTTTTAATCTACTTAATGTCCGATGGCATTGAGAGTTGATTATGATCTTGTCATGTTAATCAATGTCTAATTAATAGTTTATATAACATTTCAGGTCTAAAGAAAGACCTGTAATAGGCAGATTTAGATCTTGCACTTTTAAAGTAGAAGGTTTTATATTATAATATATATAGAATATATTATGGTCTTTGAATTTAAATGCCTTTTAAACCGATTTTCTTGATCAATCCTCCTTTGGAAATTTTGGGCTTTGTTCTCTGATGGAGCATCCGCAACCCTCGATGACATACATGTATACGGTTCGCTTTCATATAATATCCGATATTTACGTTCACAATTTAGAACATCTAAGGAAGAGAATGGTTCGTTAAGTTCACGGATTAATCATAAATTAATAAAACCCCGACAGCTCTGGGGTTTAAAGCGAAAGCTGTTAGTGTTTTCTGTAATCCCCATTACACGTCTGTATTAAAATACGAGTAATTTCACTCATAACTGAATATCAAACCAGAAGGGTTTTGAAAACGAACTCAGCGATTTGAATGTTCGTGGCATATTTATTCATTCCCTATTATACTCTTTAATCCACATTATGATAAGCTATAAGTAAATCGTATACATATTTATTCGGAAGCGATTTTATGCAGGGGATTTGTTGGGAATTTCAGTCAAATATGATCTACTCTGAACCGAGAATTTAGCGATTGAATTTTCGGCCTAGCCTCGGTCATCATTACTAAAGTCGGTACGATAAAAAAACATAGTCTCGATTATCAATTTCATGATTTAATCATGCATGAAAGTTGAGCAGCAAATCGGATCCTAATCCAGTAAATATCGCAGGCTAGCGATGACACAGAGAGTTGATTATGGTCTGGATGAGTTAATTAATGTCTAATTAATAATTTAGATAACATTTCAGGCCTAAAGAAAAACATGCAATAGGCAGATTTAGCCCTTGCATAATGTATGTTTAACTATTCATATTAAAGGTTTCTATATCTATATACATATCTGTATTAGTGCTCATTAACCTTTGTCAATAAGCGGATCAGCCAAAATCAATAGCAAGCTTGGATAGGAATAGCCGATCTTAATATTTATATGTGGAGTATTGAAGAGTCAATAGCTTTAATAATATGTTCTTGAAAGAATTTTTATAAAAACATATCTTAATACCGTAAGGTAGGAATCTACTCTGACTGTGATTGGGTGTCCACAAGATTACATATATTGATGTTTTATCGATGTTTGAATACAGAAGCGAGAACGTCTGCTTCATGGTATTAATTTACATTGATTGCTTTGGGGCAGACGACAAATAGCTTAAATATACACAAACTATATGGTTAAGAACAAATTATAGTTATTGTTGAACATGGCATTTCCTACATGACATTTTATCGCGGTCTAACCTCGAACACGGGTGCCAATTACACATTAAATCTAAGGAAAGATTATCCATACAGCTGTACAGTTGTGTCCATATCTTATAAACAATAGTCTCAATATGTATATGTATCTTTAATAAGTATTTATTCAGACCCACTGTGACATTAACCACTTCCACCTCTGCCGGACAATAATTTATTTTCATTTTACGGGGGCGCGGGGGTAACGTCCACTCAAGACTAACTACGTTATCTCTGGACTGGCTTATTTCAATTATTTGCTTGCGAGTATGGATCATTATGTTGGTGGGGGGGGGGGGTGTACACGGATAAAACCCACGAGGTTAAATAGCTGTTAACCCCGTGAACATATCAGGCATCTTTACCACAAATACGACCCCGCTTAAGTCACAACACACAATTTGTATCTAAGGGTCCAACTCAGCTTAAACGAAATTGAAATGCATTATTAAGGTGATGTTTCGTCACACTGCTCTCATAAAAAGAGTCCACCGGTCATAAATAGTCTCATTGGCGTGTATATAGTTTAGTGTTGATCATTGTGGTGTCAACATTGACACTTCAGTTCAGATAAACCAATAAAATTTATATTCTATGTCGTAAATCAAATAATTATGAGAATTAACATACCATCAATTTTGGGTGCTTCGTGAGCTTCCTTATAACCAATGCAAACGTTAGTATCCGGGGAATCTGGTAATAATGTACAGTTTAAGTCTTTAGGCCAGGCATGGTTAAATATTTCCATAAACAGTTCACATCTATCCCTGAAAGCTACAAAAAAGCACAGTGAAAGGGACATTAAGCAATCATTTAATGACAACGCAACATAGCGGAATACTTGGTGGGGAAAGCTAATAATCTGTCTAAAAACAAACGCAAAACACTAAACGCTACAAGAAAAAGTACCGCCATACCGAAAGGGAGAAATTATGTTCGTTTCAAATCAAAACAAATATACTTATCAGATTAATAAATCACTTAACGATGCATTATGTAAGAGCTAAATCTGCCTATTGCAGATTTTCATTTTGGCTTTAAATGTTATATAAATTATTATTTAGACATTTATTTACATGACAAGCCTATAATCAACTATACTATTCAAAAAAAGTAGGGGATATTTGATTTTGGGGGCATAATACTAAAATATGCAAATGACTACGAAAAAAGTCACTATAGAACCTAACAGAAGAAACATTTCCAGTTACATGTGACGCCCAAACGCACCAATAGCTACCGCATGGAATGCAGGTGATGCTTGGGATCATCATGGGGGTCCAACCCAAGATTTGCACGACTCTGACTTTGAATGTTACAGTCATTGTGGCATTGAATTCCAGGGTGGAAACATCAGTTTAATTGTTTTAGTGACCAGAAAACAAATTTTGATATGCGTCGGCTTACCCAAAATGAAAGGTTACGTGCCCTTGGCATGCTACAGATCGGCACAACACAGGCGGTTGTGGCGCGGACGATGAATGTTTCTCAGTCTGTCATAAGCAGGCTATGGTCCAGATACCGTGATACACAATCTGTACAGGACAGACCACGCTCAGGTCGACCAAGGGCGACAACTCAAGCCCAGGATCGATTTATCCGTACCTTGGCCTTGAGAAATCGTGTCATCACAGCAAATCAGATCAGCGCTCGTCTTCAAACAGACACTGGTGTGAGAGTGAGTGGCCAGACGATTCGGAATCGACTGCATAGGGGTCACCTTCGCGCCCGACGTCCTCGCGTGATCCCTTGTTTGAGAGATCATCACATTCAGGCAAGACGTCGTTGGTGTAGGGATCGTCAACACTGGGATAATCGACGCTGGAGCAATGTGATGTTTTCAGATGAGTCAAGGTTCACTGTTGATTTTTTGGACAGACGTAGGAGGGTGTGGCGTCGTCGAAACGAGCGCTTTCAAGACGTTAACGTCATCAGACATGATCGATTTGGGGGTGGTTCTGTTATGGTGTGGGGAGGCATCACTGTTGCTGGAAGAACGGCTTTACATGTTGTTGCAGGGTGTGTTACAGGCCAGTACTACCGGGACAACATCTTGGCAGTCCATGTTGTGCCGTTCGCACGACGTCATGGCCGCCGTTTCATCTTCCAGGATGACAACGCAAGATGTCACAGGGCCAGGATCGTTACAGGTTACCTCCAACAACATAACATCACCACATTACCTTGGCCAGCACTGAGTCCCGACCTCTCCCCCATCGAGCATGTCTGGGACATGCTTGGACAGAGGTTACGTCAACGTCAACAACGTCCTGCCAATGTCCAAGAACTTGCTGCTGCGTTGCAACAGGAATGGGACAATCTGGACCAAAATGACCTTAGACGTCTCATTAGGAGTATGCCACGTCGGATCAATGCTTGTTTGGCAAACAGAGGAGGATTTACCCGTTACTGACTTGGTTGTGATGCTGTGGTAACTTTGCTGTTTGACCCCGGGTATCATTTTACCCTTATAATGGTCAGTCTGTGCCTTACTTCGTCTAACGATCATTTGGAATAAATCGATGAATGTGAACTTCATTTCATTTTGTCATTTGTTTCTTCGTCAGTTTCATTAGGTGACTTTAATAACACTTAAAAATCAAATATCCCCTACTTCTTTTGAATAGTATATCTAGATCATCGGATGGTGGAGATGTAAACGGATTGAAATACGATCACCATTTAATAATTCAATTTAAAAATGGAGAAGCAAGGCTGGATCTCGATTAACAAGTAACGTTGCTACCATAATAAACAATCTAATCTATGCCACATCTTGTCAAAACTTTAAACAGTGATGACGTCGCTTAGGATAAAGCAATTTGAATGAAATTTTCAATATACAGCAAGGCCGGCCAGCTCTTTATCTAAATCTGGCATAATGCATCTTTTAAGTCAGTTATTAAATCTAAAGATTCGATGGACACAAGGAAGGGTGTGGTACCTTTATATTCTTTGTTGGGTGTATCTAGAATTTAGACATCCGCTCAATTTTTGTCAAGGTCGTTAAGGTGTAAATAAGTTTAGGGCATTTGATTGTTGGCGAGGTTGTAGATTAGGTTTAGGGTAAGCATTGGGGTTAGGGTTAGGGTTGGGATTAGCGCTAGCCCTGTTTACCTATGACGAAAAATTGAGGTGGCCTTATCATTTAGCACTAACAACTTTCGGCTGGCAACGGTTGACCCGAGAAAGGATGTAGTATCTCTATGCTTTATTGGGTCTACCCTTTGGCCCAACGGTTTGGATTAACTGATATAATCATACATTTATAATACTGTGGCTTACTTTGACATAAACTTCTACAGGGTGGAATATAATGATATGGCACCACCGGGTTTTTACTACACTTTGGTAAGAATGCTGAACAAGCAAACGTCATGGTATGTCTGTAACAGTGGGTCATAGTTTGAATTCCCTTCAGCAATTCTACTATAAGTGTGGTATCTGATTCCACTATATCACCAATCACATTTGGGAATGTAGTATATTTCCTTCCTTCTTGTTTACAAACATCAGACTTTATTTCAATACATTTTCCAGCTGTAATTATAAAAAAAAAAATATTTATCAATTAAATATTGTGTAAATATTTGGAAAAAATTTACTTTGTCATAAAATACCATATATATACATACTTGGAGATTAAATTGAATTATGCCAGGTTCCATTTTCTCAGACTGGGTGGCAGTCAACGCTTAGGGGTTTGAATTGTGACAGTCAACACCTAGGAGTTTGAAATCTGCCAGGTTACAATTTCTTAGAATGGGTGGCAGTCAAGGCCTAAGAGTTTGAATTCTGTCAGGTTACAATTTCTCAGAATGGATGGCAGTCAACGCCTAGGTGTTTGAATTCTGCCAGGTTACAATTTCTTAGAATAGGAGGCAGTCAGCGCCTAGGAGTTTGAATTCTGCCAGGTAACAATATCTCAGAATGGGAGGCAGTCAGCGCCTATAAGGAGTTTGAATTCTGTCAGGTTACAATATCTCAGAATGGGTGGCATTCAAGATCTAGGAGTTTGAAATCTGCCAGGTTACAAGTTCTCAGAATGGGTCGCAGTCAACGTTTAGGAGTTACGTATCAATATGAGAGTTTGTCTCATCATATGCTGGGCCAGGTATGTTTTTGTGAATATAACAGGTAGTCTTCCATTTTGTGTGTGAGAATCTATTTAATTGCATTAAAAATGAAATAGGGTCCTTAACTATTGAGATGAATGTTTTTAAGTATCTGAAGTGCTTATTTCGACGGATTTTGTTTAGTGTCAATAAATGCCACTGTTGTTAAATGAAACTGCATCGACTGATATTTATTTATTTACGTTATTTATTACAGTTCTGGGATCTCAATTATCCGTTGGTCACCATACTTCCTCCTCGTATTTCAGTCTGGGGCAATATTGGTTTTAACCAATCAATGTGACTTAATTCATACTTCACAGAACATTTAACCGGATAAAGCATCACGTTGATCTTTACGTAGTAATGTCAGTCTAATTAAAATGAGACCATATTCTCATTTCGTTTTAGTTTTTCTCTCGTTTATAATTACCCTACAGTGAGGTTTAAACAAGATTTGGAAACAGGCGACCTTGTTACGTACACGGGCCGATACAGTGTGGAATGGAAACCACGACACTTGACTCAATGACAGACCTTATGATCTAAAGCGCATACGTTAGATCATTCGGCCACTCAAGCCCGTAAAGATGCTAAGATACAGTTTATAGCAGCATACACAAACTGCGTCATTAAAGTTACAATTTCATATTTTTAAGTTATATTTTTAAAAAGTATTAAAATAAAGCCCTAAAATAGATGGTATCTATAAACAGTCCTACCTTGTTAAAGAATAATCCTATTAATCCTATAATTCACTATTGCCAGTTGAGAAATTGGCAAAAATATCATTTTCATCTTCAAATCCAAACGTTTGAAGATAGCTACTCCATGGTGGAGAATAGAAAACAAGGGAGGTAATTGGGAGGTAATTGTGTTATTATTTCCGGTGTAAATGAGTTTTAAGTGTGAGAATGACACCTATGATCGTATAATAGTGAGTTGACAACCTAGTGAGCAAAAGACATAGAAATAATTATGTTTTTACTTTCTTAGAAAATATGAAATTGTAACTTTAATCTTAGTTGTAGTTAGTGGGTAAGACGCTGGCTCGCTAGCCTGGAGGTCGGGTGTTCGATCCCTGCATTGGCCGAGAAAGTTCATCCAGATTTTCTGGCGTGGTCCCCCCTTGTCAATGATGCAGAGCTGTCTAGTCGTTCGGATGAGGCGAACACCCGAGGTCTCGTGTACATATTGGCGTGCACGTAAAAAATACCTTGACAGTTGGAATTCGATGTAAGAGTTCTCCGTAATGCCGCTGTCCGGGAAAAATTTCCCTCATAGCACACTGTATGGCGTATGCCCGTCTTCATTAGCCCATTTCAGAGCAGGGCGTTAAACCCCATTTCATTTTAGTTGCAGTTATATATCATGTTTATAACAGCATATACACACTGCGACTTTAACCCTAGTTAGAAGTTATATATAATGTTTATAAAAGCATGATACAAACTGAGACTTTTACCCTACTTACGTTATATATCATGTTTTTATCACCCAATAATACATTCTACAGTAGATATCGCTTGTGTGATATATTTCATAATCTCCTTAGGAGATATCGCTTTACATGAATTTGATTGGTCAGTTGAAAAGGAACTACTTTTTTTTATTTTCAAAGAACAGTTCATTTCTTATTAAAAGTAACTTTTTTTTATCAAAAATGAACTACTGTTATTCAATTGACCTTGATGGAAACACTGGGTCAATAGAAAGGACTTTGCAATGGTTAATGATTGCTGTCAAAAAATGATGTATCACTACGCCGTAATGTTCAGTAAAAGTGAAATCTACAGCAAAGAATTATATTTATCTATTTGTGCATGTAAGAAGGGATTGGGTGATAAATAAAATCTCCTACTCGTCTTTTTTGATATCAAAAAATATCAACACTCGTTGATAAAGTAAAAAAAAAACTCGTTTATCAACTTGTGTTGTTTTTTTTTTTGATATCAAAAAAGACTGGTAGGAGATTCTCTATTTAACTGAGACTTTAATCCTAGTTAGAGTTATATATCATGTTTATAGAAGCATATTTAAACGAGTTACTTGTCATTATTTAAACATGTTAGTGGTAGATCAGGTGTAAGGAAACTATAGAAACACACAAATATTATATAGATAGTATTCTCTTGTGTATCATATTAATACTCGTGCATCTTAATTAATTAAGTAAAATATCAAAACGTGACCCTGTCTGCTATATAAATGGCATTTCTATATAGTCCCAATAAAAATAACACAAACTATTCATTGGAAACATAAATAGATCCAGTTCTCCTGGGAATCTTAAAGTAACGTTGGTCTCAGACAGTATTGTTACTTTATTAACTCAAGTTAATACAAAAAAAATAAATTCTAATGGAGATTATAGCCTCAATTAGAACAGAAATCTCCATTTTGCATGGAATACTATTATATTAAAAATGTTTTGTTAAAACAAAATCATTCATGACCACAATATACGCTCAGAAAAAATATAGGGAGTTCTGAAATTAATATCAATACTTCCCGAAACCTGAATTTTCATTTAATTTTTGTGTGCGATAAGTCTGTATAATCATATCTAGCAGGCCTAAAAGTTTCAATTACTCCATGTAACAGATCAGGACATTCATAGCAGAATTACAGATCAATTGGCGATAGTCTGCTATCATCTGATTGCGTGTGAGTTTTCTAACGTTATTACGTTGGAGTATATAAAGGCAATCTCACTGCAATTAAATCGTCTTAATTATTAGCTTGATTCTATGAAAAGGAGAAAAGAATTGTAATCATTTACTAATGCAAAAACAACTTAATGAATATCTGAAGTGAAATTATTTTCTATTATTAGAAAAATGATGAGGAATGTTTTATAGAGGATGAAATTAGAAGCATGGTGTACAGAAATCAATGCGTATCAAAGAAAATTAAATTAAAGAAAATCACAGTGGCATATTTTACATGTAGGCGTATAATGGATCGATTTATTGAGTCTCTTCGCTGTATATTTCAGACCTGAAGCTTTGACTCCATTCACCTGTATGCACAGAATATATATCAAGCTGATCGAAAACGTAAAAATCTTTCTTCGAATATAAGTATAAGAAGAGACACGTACAATAACGGAATACGTTCCAAACAAAACATGCTTATCAATCAAAGTTAAATGATTTTGATTGCAAAATTCGAGCTACCATTTCTGAAATTCCCTAAATCCAAAACCTAGATTCGGGGCAACTAGCGGAAGATCTTAGTTTCCGATCGCGCCTGACATATGGATCGACGTGAAATTCATACCTGTATGTGAGTAAGGGTTCTGGCGACAAACATCCGGGTCATTAGAATCTGGTAGGTTGTCACAGTTTAATGGATACGAGAGATTTCCAGGATATTCACCTTTACAATGACTGAAAACATCTACAAAAATAAAATAAATAAAAAATAAAATTAAATAAAATAAATAATAGGGGATTACCGATTAATATCTTTATAATTGATCACAGTTTCGTGTCATTCATGTAATTGGTTTCTGTTACTGCTATAATGGGACCAGACACGCTAAAGCAGTTTTGTATAAAGGAAGACCCCATTTTTATTCATTTGTGATTGTTGTTATAATTGTGAACATAAACAAATTTTGAAAAAAAAAATCATTATATACATGCATAGAAGTTGTAAAAGACTTTTCTCACATGCAAGTGTAGAACTGCCAGACCCTCTTATGTTCTGGCCAATATAGGTTTTAACCTATAAATAATTTGTATTTTTTGTTGAGATATAATATAATATATATGAGAATATAAAATAATTTATGTATAATAGTCACCTTGGCAGTATTTTTTACACGGTGGAAGGGGTTTGCCATGGACACATGGTGGAACAAACACGTTGCACCAAAAATCTGTGGAATAGCCGTAACAGGTCTTTCTAAAGAGTGCCTCATAACGATCAATAACAGCATGGGCATGGTCCTGACTCACATGACCCATCAAATTAGGGAAGGCAGTATAGGTATAATCTGTCTTATTCACACACCGGGGCAACCGTATTGGCTCACAGGTTTCTGTGGATAAAAAGGATATAACTGTGTACCATTTCTTAAACACATTTTACTGGGCAACAAAAATCACTCCCACCAGCAACTATAGCGTCCGGACAAAAGTAAAACATATAACCTTGTGCTAAAAGTCTATAAATCCATTTTTTAATATTGATTTCCAAAATACTCTAAATGCAAAAGCGGGAATAAGAACATTGGCCGTTTACTAATCAAAAGAATTAGAGGGATCTTAATAATGTATATTCCATTTCTTCTGTTCTAAATCTGAAATGGACACAACCTCCCCCAATTCTTGAGTAATACGTCCTGACTGTGTGCACTCTAAAATATCAATTATAGGGAAGCCAGACTTTCAAAATGGCATTACCAATTGGGACAGGACAAACCAACCGTGGCGTATTTTTCATTTCTACTTTTTTCAATGATCCGAAGTCTACCTTGGAACAGGTACCTGTTCCCCATAAAAGCCTATTGATTTATCTCATCAACACAATAATTAGGTCATTTTGAGACGATGAAACGGTGATTTTTAATTCTACGGTTATATATGCAATGCGATTTAGGAAAGATTTACCCTGACCGCTTGACAACGCCCGCCACTGCTCTTCACAGTGCGAGTAAAAATAATTTGTAACTTAACGTCTCTTAGACATATTCTGAATGAATAGCTAAATCTGTGAGGTAGAACGATCTATCTTCTTACAATACGACCTGCTAGTATTTATCCTCCCAGATACGACATGCCATCATACGGTATTAACCAAAATGATGCCTTAATAGGATCAGCGACTCTAGTCTACTTTATCAGTAATATGCTATGGGTTATATAGCATACCTTGTGGAGTTGGACGAGTAGTTAAAACAGCAATAGCTGAAAAAGAAAGGGTGGAATTCATTTAAACTTATTGAACCAACATTATGATGTTCCTATGAAACGAACCCTGGTGCACCTGCATCAATGGACCCCTTTGGCTTTAATATACCGATATTTGAAATAAAGGCGTGATTTTAAACCATGAATGCAATCCTGGGACAATGATTAATCAAATAGAATAAGACACATGTGTATCCGAGAAACTACACCCGGAGTATAACTATCCAACTGTTTGCTGTTTCTCAAATGAGAGAGAGAAAAATGGGGATTAACGTCCACTGGACACAAACTAGGTCTTTTCGGGACTAACATATTGTTCAATTTTATTTCAATAATTCGCTTGCGCGTAGGGGTCTTTAGCAGTGGGAGGAAACCGGAGGACCCGGAGAAAACCCACGAGGTTGGACAAGTGACCCTACTCCTTGTTCCGTACAATCTGGGAATCGAAACCACGCCACATGACTCAATGACAGACCTTATGATACAGCGCGCACGTGTTAACCATTCGGCCACCTCCCCCCACCCCCCGTTTCTCACATGATGCATGAAAAAGTTCCTGAACTTTTTTCTTTATAGTAGAATTGCCCCATTGGAAGAGTTGAAAGGAAAAAGACATAAACAAGGCTCAATGTCTGCTGGAGTCACGCATAAAAAGGTCAACTCCGCTTTATTACACAATTATTAAACTGCTAACCTCATCTAAAATGGTGATGGCGATGAGCTCCGTTTCTAGTATCTTTTATTAGTATAGTGTGTCACGCTAGTGCCTGATATTTTAGCATGTCTTAATTTGGAGAGTTCCTAATTCAAATTGGCCATCAATTGAAAGCGAAAAATGATTGAGATTTAATCCGATCATTTCTTGATGTGACAACGCCGCCGGCTATTTAAGATTTAAATTCGGGCTGTTCATAGCATGTTCTACAATTTGTGGGTTAATAGTCTTATAATCAGGAACGTGCTGATAACATCGTCTAAGCAGCTAATCAAGTGCGATCGTTAAGAAGAACATTTTAAGACATTGGCTGACTCTAATGCATGTCTGATGGCACAACAATAAAGATAATCTAAGGCTAGTTTTTAAAACCAGATACCTCCCATCACAATCGATCAAACATTCAACATAATGTCTTACCATCCACAAAAATTTTCACACTAGAACCTTGTATAACCATTAAACTATTTTCCATGCCTTGGTAAATTAACTCTTTGACACGCTCTGTCGTTTGGTTGGTGACGGCTATTCGTTCATTTAAATGTATCACAAAATTAACTATAACACTACCTCGACTGAAACAAACAAACCATTAGAGTAAAAATACAGCCTATGATCAAATATAGAAACATCTATGCAAAGTCTGGACTCTCGGAAGTCTACTTGGGTAAACTGTAGTCAGATTTATCACACATTATAAATGTTTTGCACTGAGTCAATAAACCGTTAAAGGGGCATTATACAAGAGTCACATCTGCCTGTTGTAGGTCTTTTTTCTGGCAGACAAGCCCATAATCAACTCTTTAAAACCATCGGATGGCTTAGATATATCTCCTTTAAACGATAATATGAAGGATTGAAAATCTAGACTTCGTTTATCAGTGTGGCTATGATGATTCGTAATTTTGAGAATATGATCTGTCAGTCGGCACTCGTCGGTACAATTTAGGCTACTTCTTGCCAAAACTTCATACACGCACAACTCCGTTTCGAATTTAAATTCACACACTAGATTTTAAATGAAGACAATACCAGATTTCCCACTTACCTCAACATTATAATTTCTGTACTATCATAATTTGTTTTAAAATCACTATTTTCAAATATAGAATTCATCTGTAAATACAAAAAAAAAAATATATATTTTTAAAAGGAAAAAAAATATTTTTAAAAGGAAAAAAAATATTTTTAAGAAAAAAAATATTTTTAAAAGGAAAAAAAATATTTTTAAAAGGAAAAATAAATATAATACATTTAATGTAAAATATGGTATTCGCTTGGCCTTTGTGAGATTGTCCATGGTAGCGTGCCAACCGGGGCCCTGTTTCTCGAAATCTTAACAAAAATAAAATCCAAATTTTTGTAGATACTTCAATTTTGATTGGCTAAGCACTAAAATCAATCTAATATTATCCAATCAAATTACTAAAATTTGGATGTTATCAACTTCGTGAAACAGGCCCCAGATTACTTCCAGTTTAAAGACTTTTAAGTTTTGCATAAAAAAGAAGGGACTAGTGTTCACACTTTCTTCAGCAAGTAAGTGTTCATTCGTTAAGATGTCTAACCATGTAATTAAATCTAATATAAGTGTATAGAACGGTACTAACAGGGGTCAGATAGAAATCTCGTGTATACATGTATATTGAGTTATTGAATTGTATATACTCGAAGGTCAATTTTATTTCACTAATAAGCTTGTTGGCCAAATTGGTCCACCTTCCAATTTGTTGCAATTTACAAGACAATAGTAAGGGAATTTTATTGGAATATGATAAAGTAGAAACTGGCCACTGATATATTATCCTATCAGACAGTAATCACAGAATTCGACACCTATCTCAAATAGATTCAAATTAACTCCACAACAAGAGTTGTCTGCAGTAAGGATTCAATTTTCATACACATTGTCCGCTAATCTGTAATGCATTTCCTTACGAAATAGTAAAGAACCCCGGTTGCCAACTTGAAAATGTGTGTGAGATGGACGTAAACGTTTCTGTAACCGATCGAATAGTCTATTCATCTTCTTTGAATGGTTTGGGTAAATTAAGAGTCTGGAATGACTTGTAAGCGTTTGTTAAAAGTTGTAAGCTGAAACACGAAGTTGATTCAGTATTCGATAAGACCAACTCTTAACCCGATTCCCTATGGGACGTTTAAGCCGCAATGTCTGAATGACAGATTGGGAGAGCTGAATTGCTTGTAGGAGATACAAAAAGTTTCGACAATGTCCAATGTCTAACTAGAAAATAACGTGTAAAGTTTCATCAATTCACGCCTGCTGAGAGCCAATTACAGGACAGTCGTAGGAATTGGTTTGATTGAAGATTTATCTATTTATAGTTCTATCTGTAGTATAGAATAATGATAAATGTATTTAGTTTTTCTCTTGTATCTAATTTCTAATCCCGGTTCTTGTAATTTTACATGTAAAGTATATTGATTCCATCAATCAGCGAGAATCTTATTGACGGAGAGAAACTGGCCAACACTCTCAGACTGACTTCTAGCAAACAAGTCAATACGGATTAAACGTTCTATTCTAAAATGTATAACTTCCTTAAAGTATCAAATGTACATGCTTATAACACAAATTTATATCAAAGAAAAAACACCATATCTTTGTCAAGACGGATGAGGCTTTGGACGCAATGAAAACGTACCACTGATTTGACCGAAAGTGCTGAAGAGACATAATATAGCTGAAATGTGATTTTTGGCATGCTTGTAGGCTGGAAATTTACCGACACAAGCTAATCAACAAAACCCCACATGTAATAGGTCTTGACAACTTTACGTCACCGTGAAATGTTGGCACCAAGTTAAAATTGAAGTCAGTAACGTGTGTGGGATCCTTCGCGATTCTTGTTTCCAGTGTCTCCAATACCCATTCCTTCTTGAGATGAAATGAAATGGGATTTAACGTCCTACTGTTCTGCTCCTATACTGGGCTAATGAAGACGGGCATACGCTATAAGGGAAATTTTGCCCGGGCAGCGGCACTATCGCCTACTCATATATCGAATTCCAACTGCCAGGGGATCTTTTACGTGCATCCCAATATATACACGGAACCTCGGTTTTTCGTATCATCCGAAGGACTAGAGAGCTGTCCTTGTAGGGCTCTCCGTTCTGCACCACTGACAAGGGGAAACCACGTCGGAAAATCTGGATGAAATTTCTCGGCCAATGCAGGGATCGAACACCCGACCTCCAGGCTAGCGTGACTTAACCACCTAGCCACCGTGACTCCCCCGTCTTGAGATAGCGCAATTGCCAATAGCGAATTCTGTATGTACATGTATCCCATTTGGCATATCGTTGCGTCTTTGAAAGAACTATAGGGGTTTTAAAAGCCACATATTATACGCCATGTCTGCATCATAAGTCCGTTTTTTGGTGTCTGAGAGAATTGATTTGTGATGCTTTTATGTAATTGTGAAAACATCACTCCCACGTGTTACTGTCGCGATCTGATGTTGTTACATTCTGAATTGCAAGACTAAAGTACATATTATCTTAAACGAGATTTACAATCATAAATTTGTAAAAGTGGTGCGGGTTTTTTTTTTGCGTCTCAGTTACATCATAGTTTTCTATTTCATTTTGATTAGTTTGTTGTGGCTTCAAATGAATCTTGTCATTAGCACTGTTTTGTTTTTCTGTCTAAATATTTGCCACTGATTGACACAACGATAAACATACGGTCGGCCATTTTATTTACGTAATTTCTCCTATAAGATACGTGTTGAATTAAACAGACACTGACATGAGTGATTGTCACTTATAAAAACATATAGAGTAAAACTATTTATTAATCAAATGTCAATCGGCCCCTGGGCTATACAATGATCAACAATTGATCAATAGACACAACTAAGAAGCAATATTTTATACTTTAATTGTGATGTGTCATAATTGTTTTTATTATATATTTTGTTGAATTGTAGATATTTTTCAGATTGAGCTACTGAGCTATGATTTAGAACACACCGGATCTATCTTCATTGTAAATATTTGTAACCTATGTTAATAAATCACAAAGAAGTTACATGGATTCGGTCATAGGAATTTTAATCAGCATATCTTCATGCAATTCTCAAGTACTAAACGGTGACTAAATGTAGTTTGAGAGACGATGGTCGTATCTTATCATTCTTAAAATGCCATATTGCCTGCTCGTCTAGACCAATTAAATAAAATTAAAAACATTAATACTTCATTTGTGTAAGTTAATTACTAACTGGCAGTCAAAGCGTAGCGAGTCCTTGTTTTAAAAGATAGTTTATGTTGTCTTTCTAGACTAATGGACCAGGTTTGTTTCGTGTAAGGTAGTTGTTATCACTACAAAATTAATTTGGTAATTAATGAAGTTCTTGGAAAAAAGCCAAAGTTTAACAACTATTGTACAGAAATGGTATGTAGGTAATTAGAAACTAAACTAAACGATTCTACCATGGCACCGCTATGACGTTATTGAACCTCCAAAACTGGAAACACCTGATTGTCATTATAAAAAAATCTAGTATAGTTTCTATGTATTTGTCCACTGATATTCAAGTTATTCAATCGTTTTTCTTAAATGGCCTCGCACTTTTTCATGTATTTAACAGAAAAATTAGAATCCCGATGTCCGAAATTATATCTTTTCTTCATAACATTCATTATTTGACCAAAAACAGAACCCCAGTTTGGAAGGGGGCAAGAACGGTACATGTACTATTACTGCTGACAACTCCAGACTCTACAGTTACAGCCAACATCTGCCCATTACTTATTTCCATCCAGAACTTGAGCTTCGATTTGTGGTTTCAGTAGAAAATCATACAGTAGAGAATTGTTGCTTTTCTTCAGTGAAATCATTTGCTGTTTTACAATAATGGTATATCTACAATATATGGTTTTGATTTGCGGAGTGCAAAGCGAAATAGTGGATACATTCATTCAACTAAATAATACAAATTGACATCTTCAAATTTATTCTATAGATCTAACAAGGAAAATATTTACAAACTAGACTTTAAACTCACCTTAAACTGAAAAGAATTTGCTAAATATTTATAGGCGGGCGATAATTTATCTTCTAGATTTTTAGTATACACAGAAAAAGGCCCCTGTATGATTCTTAAACTGCCCTTTATTTCGTCTGTACGTGATATCACTGTAAATACATACATTATGAATGATGAAAAGAATGGAATTAGGTGGGGTGAGTGTGAAAATAATTTACGAGAATTACTTTTATTTACTTTGATTACATATGGGAATGTAAATTCTACATCACAAGGTTTCCGGGACAGACATATTTCAAACATCTCGGCTTTGAAATCGGAACTCACTTTCATGCTAATGTGTTCACGTGTGGTCATCGATAACGCCTACTTTCCTTGTAAGCCTGGCGTATTCTCTGACAAATGGGCATAGGTCACGAAATATCCCCTTCTCGGAACATGCTGGGCTTTTAACCCAAGACATTCAAACAGACAGTCTAGTGCAAACGACGTCTCAGTATGAAATTAACTATCCATCTACCCTGAATATCTTTCGCATATAACTGCTAAATTGGAAATTTAACTATCGAACTGCTGACAGATTGTTTTACTTACCAGGCAGTTGAGGTTGTTGGGTAGATTTTACTTCTCCTGGAATAAAAGAAATTAATATTAGAAACCATAGCCTTGATTGGTATCTGCATTTTTTTAAATTTCATGGTTAAAAGCAGACTATAATAAATGAATATTGCGTGCAAACTCAGATCCATAGTTTAGGTTTTGTTGCTGAACTATTCATCATGTCTATAAAAACAAAGATGGATGCGTTAGCTTCTTAATGTTGACAATTCATCACATTTTTCAAGTAGAAAATCAAATGACCTTGCTTCGGATTTATATCAATTACAGTGTTTCAGTTTTTACAAAAATGTTCTTTTCGGTAGTTACTTTTTTTACAATCATTTACAATGTTTAAACTCAACACGTCTATCAAATCAAGATCAGTGCCAAGCTTGACAACCAAAGTAGGCCATTTTCTTAAGGGACTTGGTGGGACTGGGGTGAAAAGTGGACTCTGACATTCTGACATATCTTTCGGATCAGAAAAAAACCCTTTATACACACTGAGCTTTTTAAAGAGATAAATCCAACACCCTGTTTGACGTCAATTAGCATTAATTGTGATATTACGTATGTCAGTATCATTATCCCGCGCTTTGAATGCCCATCCCATCCCACCATCTGATGATAAAGGATAAAGCACACGATTGTGATACTTTTCTCATAAAAATATTGTTTTGAAACAAATTTTATGTAGCTGAGCAGGGAAGGGGGTGGACCCCCAACTCGTCCCTCCCCCTCTTTTCATACGCCATTGTGTAGATGTGATGATATAATCTATTTAAATTTTCTGAAAATGTCAAATCAAAATATCTAGATTTTCTTAACTGTTTTGTAAATTGATAATAGTCTCTGTCGAAGAGAAAAAAGCGTGCAAACAAGATTCATTACAAAACTTCATCTCTGCAAGTGGACATTTCTATCGTCTGTTGATATTGAATGTTGAAAATAAAATTCTTACATTCAATAATAAAGACACACCACATTAATGTGAAAAACATCAGTAAATACGGCCACTTGATGGCATCACTTTGGAAATGACCATCTGTGCAAAGTGCAACCCATACAATTATAGAGCAGGAGCCCAGGGGGTTAACCTAGCTGAAAAGTGTACCAATTTTCTCCTATATGGTATCAATGTATGTATATCTGGTATCATCAGAATGTAAGTCTGCCGGGTTTCTGGTGGTGGGTGTGGTATTCCACGCCCAAAATGCCATGATCCCCAACTAGGCTAGATTAGCTCAAACGTGTACCACATGAAAATCGCACAGCAATGTACCGTACATCTTCAGGTATTACAAAAACACTCTGACAGACATTTCTAGTGGTGGGGTACCCCTGACAGAGCTATTTAATTGCCAGACATTTGTAGTGATGGAGTATCCCTGACAAGTGTTATCTAATTTCCAGACCAAAGCTAGGCTAGATCAGCTCAAATCTGTACCACCTAAAACAGCTTTGGAGTTGTTCAGTACCACGACAAGAATTATGAATGACCACTAGCAGACAGTTTGTGCGGTGGGTTGCCCCTAACAGACACACCCAAAATAACACGCCCCCCAACTTTGGATAGGGTTTGCCTTTTAATCATAAAAGGCAGACGGACCAAACACATGGATGTATACAAAGGAATAATGTTAATATGGTTGTCACAATTAAGAAGCACCAGAGAAAATAAGAAAGACTACAGTGCGTCAGCTGTCAATAAAACCTAATAACATCAAAGGTTTATAGTTCCATGTTTATGCTAATACGATTATAATTCGCGTTCTCATGTTGGGATTTTCAAGCTGTTTGATCTTATAACTTGGCCTTATCATTGAAACTGGCTTTCATAAAGTACCCTTCACACCAGTACATATGCCATATATTAGGTCCTATGCTGCTGAGAAAATTGAAAGTGGGAAGACACGATATAATAAATGGCACATAAGACAGAATCGGAGACAATGGTGCTCCTCAAGTGGTTTAGGAATCACATTTTTTTTAAAGTGTGTGGGCTTTCAGTTAGACCCTCTGCTTGCAGATTGGACAGAGGCAACCCAGTTCACCAATACATGGTGCGGTTGAAGGGGGAATCGCGCAGCGAAGGACATCTCTTCTGATGTTTGAACTTTTTTTTATTTATTTATTGAGTTCTAGGTTGAAGCGGACGTTAAGCGCGACAAGAAGTAAAAGTTTGTCTGTGGTCTTAATGCCAACACGTGAATTCGACACGTTCAGATTTAATGATCGATACTCTTATTCCAACTGTCAAGGGTTGTTTTACGTGCACGCCAATTTGTACACGGGACCTGAAACCGCGCGGCGATACATTGTCCCTTACCAGGCCCTCCGCCCTGCACCACATACAAGAGGGGAACCAAGCCGGAAATGCCGATGAACTTTCTCGGCCAGCACCGGGATCGTACAGGGGACCCCCAGGGTAGCCAAGAAAAGAAATACATGTGTTTACGGTTACTTGCCCCCCTCACCCCCCACCCCCGCGAAAAAAAGAAAGAAAAATAGGGTCGGTCATAAAATCTTTCGTGGGGTGGATTGTATTATCTATTTCCTAGAATTTCTAGCTTAATTACTGATTAAGGTTTTTGAAAAAAACACCGAAACGTCAGTCTCGGAATTTGTCCACAGAAAACCACGCCAAGACCAAGTTATATAGCCTGGGAACTGAGAAAAAGGGTTTAGGGTAGGCGATTTCGGATCAAAAGGGTCGGTTGGGTAACCCTAAAACAGTTATTACTTATTTAGTCTTAACGAGCCAACTTCCTACTCACAGAAACACCTCTGCTCCCAGTCAGGTAGGCAGCAGTAGTGGAAATGTCTTCTTGAGCAACGAACAGATTATCTCGGTATCCTTTAAAGATTGTTTCATCCACATATTTGGGTCAATAGTTTATCTAGAAACTCCGAATAAGAGGGGGTTGGGGGTGGTCCAAATCTAAAGCGCCATCCACGATCCCACCCGCAGCGAATGTCAACAAAATACTGGCTATAACACTGAGCGGCGGGATAGAAGATAGATCGTATTGCCTATATAATTGTTCGCCGATCGTTATTTCGCCGGAAAGCAGTTTTATTCAAGTTGAAATAAAGTTTATGTCATATTATGATTATTATTGATTTTGTTATTGATTTTGTCAACCTTAAAACACTGAGCAACCTGGAAATTGTGCCTCTGAGAAAAGTTTGAGAATTTGAGTCAATATCCTAGCTTTTGGGGTCATTGCTGGGAGCAAATTCTTGTGAACGAGAAGATGATAAATGGGAGTCAATGGGACAGAATCTTGAGATTTGCCTGTCAATTTACCATTTGTTACAATTTAACAGAAAATTTGTACAGTTTGTCGCCCCACGCACTAGTGGTACTACTAACTGGGCGGTTCACTATAAGTATAACCGTGAATTTTCTGGCATTTGAGTTCCTTGATGGGAGCAAATTCTTGGGAACGAAAGGATAAGTAATGGGACAGAATCTCGAGGTCGCCCCACGATTCACTATGACCGTGAATGTGATAGAGAGTATGAGACCACGGATCAGGAGTGGAAGAATGATGATATAATGGAACCGAGCATCGAAGGCGCGAAAAAATATGTAATTAAGCTTTCAAATTTTTGGGACGGGGCCTAAATGTCCTGGCACTGAATTAATTGATGGGAACAAAATATTAATACAGAAAATATAAATACATTATAATCATAAATTATATACTGGTATAAAATTATGATGTAAAAATGTTTACTCTCGATTAATTAATCGAAAATTTATATTGGAAAGAGTACCAATCAGTTAATGTACATAATGTAGTAGAATGTAGTGTGGTTAGCGAAACGATTATCTGAAGTTCATAGTACGGAAGGATATGCGAATCTCGAGTTATAGATAGAGCAGATAGAAATTAAAAGTCTAAGAACACGGGAAATGAAAGGCATCTGACATGGGAAGGTATTGCGAAGTTGATAAGTGTCATTTGATAATGTTTACTATTATTAGTATAGACCGTCAGAATGGAATATGGATCATCGGTCAAGATACTATCAGTAACACCAGACACAGCTGGACACGATATGTGTTCCTAATCAAAAGACAACTGGTGAAACCATCAGAATATGATATAAATATTCAAACATTTGACGATAAATAAAGTTAAAGCAGAACAAGACAAGCCAGCAGTGAGGCTGATGCACTCCGCCGATATCCCAAAATATTAATTAATTGCACATTTATCTTTTTCAAAAGTATCGAATAATCAAACTGTTCACGATCAAACTCAGTCAAGGTTTTGAAGTTCCTGGTAGTGAAACTAGGCATTAAGTTTCATCACTCTCCATCAGTTAGAAATAAAGTTATCTTGTCCCAAAGCATCAACCAATGAAATTGTTTAGCTCTGCTTGGCTTTCGCGGGAAATATTAATCAATGCATTCGCATAATGAAAATCTACACGTCAATTAAAAGCAGAGTTGTTATGTTCCAAAGTCTTGACCGATCGCATTGCTTAACGCTACTTAGCCTAAGCAGAAAATTTTCATTATCGAACTTAGTCAAGGTATTGATATAATGAATCTAAAATCGGAGTTTCATCACTCTCAGCTAATTAGAACTAAAGTTATCGTGTTCCAAATCTCAACCTATCAAATTGTTTATCTCTGCTTAGAATAGTGGAAAATGCGCATCGTCCAACTCTGTCAAGGCATTCACCTAATAGACACCTACACCAATTTTGAACATTCTACCTCAATTAGAAGGCGAGTTATTGTGTTCCAAAGTCTGACCAATCAGGTTGAAGTCTCTACTTTGCCTAAGCAGAAAATATTCAGCATCAAACTTTGTTAAGGTATTATTGTAATGAAATTATACACGAAGTTTTACCACTATCACTCAATTAGAATCAAAGTTGTCGAGCTCCTAAATCTCGAAAAATGAAATTGCTCATAACTCTGCTTACCTTGAGCAGCAAATGCTGATTATCGAACTTAGTCAAGGTATTGATGTAATCAAATTATACACTAACTTTCACCATTCGCGCGT